AGAAACCGAATCCTGCTTCCTTCCCCGCGACATTCCGCGCCGATCTCTAAGTCGCCTCGCAAAGGCCTTCGATGCTGCAACTGGCGGCACCCTTTGATTTTAATACCACTAGCAAATAGCGAATTGACTTTCTGACGCGCATCGAGACCCAAAAACGTCTTAACCCCGCAGAAAACAAAAAAGATTTCATTTCATTCAATTTCATTTTTAATAACTCCTAATTCATATAAGTCAAGGTGTTATAATAATTTCCCTAGACTTCAATCGAGATTCATTCGGGTAGCTGTGATCAGCTGATCGGAACATGATTTTACATTTCTGATACTCTCTCTTCATTCAGACGAATCGACTTCGATCCGTCATGCTCTGATTTTCCTGTCAGGCGAAAATGTCATAGATAACCATTGATACTTGATATTTATCTTCTTTGCTTCTATATTCCTGATCAGCTGATCGTTACTCTGGTATGTTCGGGTGATTAGAATATCCAGGTAATTGTCAGATCGCACTGGTCAGCCGGTCGCGTCCTGCTTTATTATTGTCCCGGCACTCTGGAGAAGGAGACAATTGTTATCGCGACTGTTAAATGGAATTTAACACCGTATCGGGTGAGTCGCGAGGATCGGGAAGAATGGCTGGGACTAATCGGCGCACCTTCCAAGTCACCGCAGCCGGGAATTATCGATTTGCCAAAGTCTTTTTCTCTCGGTCGGAAACGAGTCGGCCGTGCCGACGACGCCGCTATCTCGCGAGGGACGTCGCGATCCGCGTAGAAGTCTCCCTTCTGGGCGGGAATTCTGGCCTAGAGTCGCAATTCGCTCGGCTATTTTCTCTCTCGCCTGCGTAGTCGAGCGTTTGGCCTGGGAACGGCCAGGAACGATGTACAAGTACTCGCTTGGAAATTCCCACCGACCTCCACGACTCGTTTTGCAATCCATGAACCCTGGACAATCGATGCCCTCGTCGCGAGGGATTTGCAGAACCGCGATTAATTAATTAATTAACTCGCAAAAGCATCGGATTATTTTATTTCTTATCAAGCACCCTCGTGTCGGGTACTTATGGGTGCCTCGATGAATTGCCGAATTTAATTCCGCCACCGGGTCAGATGTAAGGCATATTCTCACGCACGGTTGACTTCTTCAGGATTGGAGGATAATTCGTAATTAATGATTCCCCAAGTTCAAATAAAAAAAAGTTGGTCGCCTCGAAGAAGTGTCCATTGCGCATGTGGAAATCCTGAGATAGCACGTGTACTAAGAGATGTCAGATCGAGGGGAGGAAATTAGTTTGAATCGATCTATTTTGTCTTCTCGATGAAATAATTGTTTCTTTTTTTGCAATTATGTATGATTTACGTTACGATGCATGTGTCGATGATATATATTTGTTTAAGTTGATTGATTTTTTATTTTTTTTATTTTTTTTTAGGGGGGGCACTCTTCCTCGAGGGTCCTCGGTAAAACGTCGACCGAACCCCGCGTGCGCGGAACTCGGAGTTCCGCGGAATTAGAGACGCCTCCTCGTGGATTATGTCGCATTTCTGGCCCTCCTGGTGCTCCTCAGTTAAACGAAGGATCCCCGGCGTACCCGGGGCGCAGCTTGTATAGCTCGCGATCCTCGTAACTCTCAGCCCCTTTTCCACCGAGCACCCTCTTCCGCACCCCCTTCCGCAGCCATTCCGCGGCGCGTTTCTGCCGCTACCTCGGCGCTGCTTCGACCCCCTCGGTCTGCCGGCCAGAGTGCCGATCGATTTAATAACACGGCCATTTTCCCAGCTACGGACCGAACGCTCTCCGTCTCTCCCTCTATATCCTCCCGGGTGTTGCCGTGCTCCGAAATTCGCGGCCCCGACCGATCGCGCGGAATCGCCAACCCGCGAGGTCCCTTATCACCCTATCGTACCCACTCCATCGTCAGATTAATCCCAGGGACTCGTAATCACTTCCGGAATGCCTTTTTACGCAATTAATGTAACGAGGTCACGCCGAAGCTCGAGCGTTCCCGGGAAACAGGAGCTGGACGCGTTGCATTTCGAAAATGAGGATAATGAAGGATCATCCACGTACCGGGGATTTATCTTCGCTCGCGAAATTCGACATTTTCAAAATCAGAGATCGCCAGGTCCCTTTGTCCACTCGCTGCGGCCGCGGGAATTATTTCGGAATTATTTCGGAGTGCATGCCGCGTCCTGGTTGTTGCATTAACCCCCCCCTGGTGCACCGGTGCAGCGGTTGCTTACGTGAGTTTGCGAATTGCCCCGGAATTTCTGCCGTTCGTTTCTCTGCGTGACAAAGTAACTGTGCATAGCTGTGTACTTAATGCACGAGTGGGCAAGGATGTACGCGGGTGTTTGTACACACGTGTATGTACGCATCCACGAGGTCGGCCTCGGCCCCTTCGCGTGATTTTATGCACCCCTGCCTTTCCTTTCGCTTACCGTTTTCCCGAACTTATTGTCCCCGAGGACCTCTCGTATCGATCTACCCTGGAATAGGGTCCGAAAGAGATCGGCCATTATTTCGTATTCCTTATTTCTCGGAGGACTCCTCCGAAGGAGATGGCGAATCGTCGTTTAAGCCCGACCTCGATCTTGCGTCGTCATATTGACAGTCAGCTGTTCCATGTTCCATGCGCATCCGCCTTGCAGTTCTTTTAGCTTACAGGTGATTACGCACGTGACGATTAAACGATGCAACAAATATGGACTAGTCGAGTGACGTAGGAAAATCCGATAATTAACGGCACGGATTAGAAATCCCTGTGATTTATCGTTTGGTGTGGGGGCATCTTAAGGTGTATTCTCGCGTGCGTAATGCTTTAATTGAATCTTCTAAAACTAATGATTTTCGATCCTGTTCGCAATGTCGTATCAATCGCATGTCGGCGATAAGTTCGAGGACCCCGCCCATGACTTCGCCCGCCGTCCGATTATGCAATTACCCAGGTGAACGGGGACCCTGTACTTGAACTGCAAGTCCTGAATATTTCCGACACACCTTGGAAGTCGAACGGTCGCTGTTGTTCTCGGCGAAATATTGCTGAATTAATAATAGAGTAGTGCAATATCGAGGCGCCTTGGCCTTGACTTTGGCCGGCGATTCGATTAAGTCATGACTGGCGGGAAGTGTGTCGAATTTCACTCTTCTGTCTTCTTCGTTTCATTTTTTTTTTCTTTTTTCTTCTTTTTTTGGGGTCTAACACCCTCACGTGAAATACTTAAGGTGAAGTGAAACGCGTCGAGGAACTTGATCGACGTCGGTAAAGAAGATTCTTCGAAATACCTACGTTCCCGAATTTCGTTTTTATATCGACAGCTGCGTCGAATTATATGGGTATCATCATACATCAATTAAATTTTCACTACGAGACCTCGTATTCCCATTGTTTTAGCACAGAACCGTGTAAGACACTTTTTCTCGCCTTCATCTCGTTAAAATGCGAGTTCATCGATTACCAGAGTGTTCTAAATTGTCGTAAAATTGTCCCGACCCTTTCGCGTCTCATATAAGAGCCTTCAATAATTGCATATTGATCGAAATATGAGAGCTCGACGCCGTTTAGGTGCTGCTCTGGGGTAAGCTAAAAATTTTTTTTTCAAAAATCCAAATTTTCAACGTGTCAGGACAATTCTTAGATGATCAATAAGTCATGTGTCAAAGTTTCGGGCAGTTTGTTTGAGTACCCTTAAAAAAAAAAAAAAAATAGTGTTTTATTCGAATCAGCTGATTTGAGTGGGGTTTCACTTCACCTTAATTCATGCAGGAATGCGCGTTTTTGTATGATCCATTTCCATTGCTACTTGGGGAAAATCGATGATAGGGGATTTCTTTTATTTACTAATTATTTACTTCCGCAGGGTGGTGGGTTTTATTTAGGTGTTTACAGGGATAATCGTAGATGGGTACTGGTGGCTTCGCGGTCGAGGCATTCCCATTGCTACTTCGGGAAGATCGATGATAGGGGATTTCTTTTATTTACTAAATGTTTACTTCAGCAGGGTGGTGTGTTTTATTTAGGTGTTTACAGGGATAATCGTAGATGGGTACTGGTGGCTTCTCGGTCGAGGCATTGATCGGTGCAATTCTCTCGCCAGCGTTTGATCCGCTTTGCGGACGGATGCGCAGGCCTTACCAGGAGCCCACACTCGATCCGTTCTTTGAGATTCCACCGGATGTCTTCCCTACTCGTTAGCCTCGAGAGTTTACCTACCTTCCCGGTATATACGCTCCGTTTCGCCTTTCCGGGCACTCGTTAAGGTGTACTTCCTGTTTGCGTGGTTTTGGAGTTGCGACTCTCCCTATTTCTCGCGAGGCGACGTCACCAGGAATGGTCGATCTCCCGACGAGTGCGAGGAGATCTCTTCTGAATCCCCAAATGAATCATCTTATCTCCCGGAAATTAATTTCCCATTTTTAAGGTTATGTCAAAACGAAGATGTTTCCGATGGTCTCTTGCGATGACTTAGTCCCTACTGGAAGAAGCTGCGTACAAACTGTTCGATGCATTACGATATTACAGTATTACACTATACTCACTTACTTTATGCTTATGTACTTACGAGAAGTTATTCATTCTTCGAAATTACCGGCACATTGCCATAATTTCATCGCCGATCATCACTTATTGCCGAATTACGTTACCGTTTACCGTATGAAGGTAAATGCAATCGGTTCTCAAAGAAGGTAATCGTTTTCACTTATTCCCGAGTGAGTAGCCCCTGCGTACTTAATTCAACGAGAAGACAGGCTCATCCGTTTATATTTTATTTTCCTAGGTCTATCATACAATTTTATTTTGCATGTAACATCCAATGCCACGTATTTGGCAAAAGTAACTGATTTCATTGTTTTTGTGCGATCAATCGCCACCGTGTCAATATGACTGCAAAATATACCTTTCCAAGTGGATGTGTGTTGGCGGCAAGTTTTTTTTTTTTTTTTCACACCGACGGTGCTTCTTGTCCTTAGGTTTATTACAAGTGGTTTCGGTTGTTGCAGCTTACTGGCCGCGAGGAGACAGCGCAGCGTCTTCCCTCTTCGGCGGAATGCCTGGCGGTTACGGTTTGGGCGCGCACCACTTGCCCTCGGCCTACGCCATTTTGGGCCGTGGGGGCACCGCTCCCGGCTTCGGGGGCCACACTCCGGCCTCGGCGCCTCCACCTCCGCCGTACACCCACAGCAGTCTGGGCACCCTCAGCGTAGCGGCCAGCCAAGCTGCGAGCCTAGGTAACCTTTCCGTGGACGTTGAACCACTTAACACGTTGACGTCACCCATATTCGGGTGACATAGTAGTCAAATAAAATGCGCGTGGCAGTCAACGTGTCAAGGTAATGTAAAAGTGTAATATATGCATAACAAAAATTGAAAATAATTATAATACTTTTCTCGTGACACGTAATTATGGAGGCCCTAAGGAATAACGCGGTGCTGGTGAAATTTCTTTTTTCGGAAAAAATTTTTTTTTCCACAAGAAAAAGAAAAGATGTATTTTTTTTTCGAAAAAGAAATGAATTCTCACGGGCAGCGCGTTCTTCTTAGAGCTTCCATAATCATGTGATATAGGTTTAGACAATTTGGTGCACCGAGTGTGGAGAAAAGTGTTTTATAAATATTTTTCACCCTTTGGTATGTATATATCACATTGTCATATCACCGTAATCCTTGTCACTTGTACATGTATACCGGTACACCGCGTATAGAGGCATATGCATATGCGACATATATATGTAAACACGTGTATGAGAAGGTAAATAACTCGTGCATATTCAGGACGCGTCATACAGGACCTCGGGCGAAAAAAGGTAAAATTGAATAAAAAAGAGTTAACAGCAAAGAAGAGAAAAAAAAAAGAGAATATTTTTATTTGAATTCGACACGGTATGGATGTGCAACTTTTTCATTATGCCCGGATTAGCGGATATAAAGTGTCTCAAGTAAACAAATCATTGTTAGCATCGCTTGAAATGTGAGTTTGGAAGTCGATTTTGAAACAGCACGGTCCACTCTGCGCAAATCTGAAGTATAAACGAATCCCACTGGGTGAGTTTGTTGAAAACTGTGATTTTCTGGTTGGTTAATGAAAAAAGAACAGTTCATATTAGAAATGAGATTTTCGGTAATTTTTTTTTTTTTAATGGTTGGTGAAGTAATTTTAGGTCTGCTGTGTATTATGTATGTACGGAGATACGAAGACCGGTATACTGGTATAAATTGATTGTTGTATCTAATTGTTACTGTCGATTTCTAGGTATCAATCCTGCGAGCGCAGCTTGGTGGACGATGGCCTCGCACCTCGCTGCGCAAGACTACCTGGCCAGGTTGCAGGGGGCGGCCGGACTGCCAGGATTTCCGCCCGGTGCCGAGAGCCTGCTGCCACCTTATCCAGCCTCTCTACTTAATCCCCCGTCCCTGTCGTCGTCCCACAAGTCGAATAAGTGTAAGTTTGGCAAACCCCCTCTAACAGTACTCTGGCTCCAGGATGCAGCAAGTGGCGAACGTGTACCCGTTCCTAACGCTAGGGATTTCTTTTGCAGCTAAGTCAAGCAAGAGTCACAAGACACCGGCGAGTAGCAGCTCGACGACGTCCAGTCTGACCAGCAGTTTGGCAGTCAGTCAGGCCCCTCTATCCTCGCATCATAGTACCTCTTCGGCTAATGCCACGCCAAACTCTCAGACGAACGTCGTCAGGTAAGAACCTCGTTAGACCGAAGAAGATAGTGGATTAATAGGTGATAAATGAATTATCTTTTCCTCCCCACGCTGCAGTACTGCCAAGGAAGGAAGGTGAATACAGTAGTTCATGCAGTGGGGTGAATGATTAGCATTGAATGTCGAATATATGTTACTGGCACCTGAGTTCTCGCTTTTGTACCGGATGTGCATCCTTCTCGAGGTGGGGTTGATACGCCGCGGTGGATTTAATTTCTCCTTTGATTTCCAGCGATCCTAGCAGTATATTGGGTGGCGTTCGATTACCCCCTGACACGGAGATTATAAAGTACACCTCGAGCATCGTCGGCCCGAAAGTGCCCGGGACCACGAATCGGGGAAGGAAGAAGACCATATCGTTGGACACGCCGAGTGTCAGCGTCCATCCACCGCCCGTTCCCGCCCTGTCGGCTCATCAGACCAACACGACGACTAGTTTGATGATGGAGCCGCGAAAGTACAATCGAACCGCGGTAAGTGGCTCGCGATTAATCCGGCTAATTAAAATAAGTAGTGCGGATTAGGTTGCAGCGGGTTGACCTCCCTGGGACTCCTTTCAGAACGACGCGAGCGACTACAGGGACTCGGTGGATCGAGTGGAGGTGATCAAGTTACCCGCGCACTCGACGAACGGATCCGTATTGCCGGCACCCACCGCGTACACGACCAGCAATGCCAGCAATTCCAACGACGTGGATGCACCTTTAAATCTCTCCTTGAAGCCGGCATCCACTAGCAGTAGCTCGCCGATCACGGGGAGCCAGCCTTTGAGTCAACTCAGTAATCTGAGTCAGTCGTTGCTGGCCTCGGACAGGACATGTGAGTGTCGGATCGCGTCTTCAGGATCATCCTGGACGGCTATATACGGGCATCCTGATCATTTTGTCAATGTTCTATGGATATTAAGTGATGAACCATTTTTATTTTCCTCCACCCAGCTCGGCGAAAACCTGGCCCGAAACCGAGAAGAGTGCCGCAGAACTCCGTGCCGGTTCCGGCCTCGCCGAGTCCGTCTCTGGCGCAGTTATTCGCCGCTGCGGACTCCCCGCAGCGGCCGAGTAGCGGCAGCGAGGAGAGCGAGAGCACGGCCACCCATCATAAGGATGGTCGGCCGAGAAACCTTGGTAGAGGGGTGTCGAAGCCGAAGAAGAACACCGTGGCGTCTCTGTTGGCGCAAAGTAGAGCGCTGGGCATCAAGCCTACCCCGACATTGGACCCCAGTGTGCCGTTGTCGCACCAAGTCTCGTTGCTCAGGTCGAATATATTGGCGGCTCAACTGCACGCCTCAACGACGGGCCAGGGGGAAGAGAAGAATCAAGTGAGTGAAGTGTTCCTTCCACCTGGTAGATTTTTCATTTGATTTTTTCGCGGGGTCGATGGAGTTGGTTCTACTGCGGACTTCGGGGTCGCACGAGTTAGGGTCGTTTTTCCGAGACTTTTGATTTTCCACTAAATCATGCTCCCTATATAGCGCTCTTTGCAGGAGAAAATGAAGAACAAACTGCTGGAGGTGTCCGGGGAGGAGAGCAACATGGACGTCACCAGCGAGAGCGGTAGCAATACGGACGTCGTCACCGATACCGACGAGGATAACGCCGAGGGCACTCCTAGTGCTAAGAGGAGAAAGTTAAACCCTAGCGACAAGGACCTTCAAGTACCTCTGGAGCGAGGCTGGAAGAGAGAAACCGTCATTAAGGGCCTCGGCAAGACGGGGATCATTAAGGGCGACGTCAGCTACTATAGTCCCTGCGGAAAGACCTTTAGGACCAGCGGCGATTTGCTGAAGGTAGAGAACTCCTCGAATTTGCACTTACCGGTATCACTCTCTCGGTTTACGAGTGTAAGGAGATATGGACTCTCCTTTGCGATCTCTTTTCCTTTCGGTAGTTCTCATTGTCCTTTCTTTTATGCAGTTTCTCGAGCTGCAGAACCCAGCCGAGTTGACGACGGCGAACTTTTCGTTCTCGTCGAGGCCCCTGGTCGGTGAGTTTCTGCAGCCGACGATGGGCCTAGCGGAAGCCGAATTCGTCAGGCTGGGTGCCCAGGAAGTCGCCAGGAGACTCGAGGAGCTCAGAGCAGCCGGTGGGTTTCGCGATGTCAGGACAAACAACCAATACGAGCGAGATAAATTAGCTTATGCTAAGAAGCTCGCGAAGGAAGAGGCTCAACGGCACAAGGAACAGGCAAGGTGAGACGCTCCGTCTCGCAAGTGACCTACTGATTTAAATTAACGCGATCAACATTTAAAAACCAAGTACTCGCGTTTAACTCCAGAAATTAAGCGATTAGCATTGTTTATTTTAGGGTGTAGGATTATTTATTGGTCGTTTTCCCCAGGCTCATCAAGGAGCAGGAGAAGACCGAGCGACAGGAGGCTGTGAAGCGCGAGAGGGAGATCAGGAACCAGCAGCTTCTCGAGGTAAGTCCAACTCGTCAGAGTCTCTTGATTGTCTCGATCGTTGTTTTCCATTCATAAAGACTATTCTCTTCTTTGGGATACATTTTGTATTTTGTCCACCTGCCGTGCGTGTCGCATGCTCTCTGTGTGCCGTATATACATATATTATATATATATACTCTATATATATACTCCTCTGAACCCCGATAGTCGTCATAGAAACTCTCTACTCGCAAAATTCCCCCCTCACCTCGCCCCGAAGCCTCGTTAATCGGCCCGCAGTTCCCGAGGGACACTGATAAAGACACTCGCCAACACCAAACGCTAGTCATAGTGACAGGAGAGCCCAGCATGTCCTATTCTTAGAGATTTTTTCTTTCCTTTTGGTCTTATCGATATTCCGTTTGACCGCTATCACTTGACAGAGAGATAACGACGTTAAGGGAGCCGTCCGCTGCATCGCTTCGGTTGCCCTCGACTCCAGTCAACCGGGTCGAGGGCGAACTGTCACCGCATACTGGTTCCCTGCAGACCGGGTGGCCTGAAAAGCTGCGATCGAAAGACGGAGACAAGAGAGAGGAACGGAGAAAATGAGACAGTAAGAACGACCAGAGCAAAGTGGACAACGGCGCCTATCCTCGAGAACTCACGATCCTCGGGAACCGACGTGTCATACCACTTTAATTCGATTTAATTTCCAGCTCTTCCAGCTGGAAGGGCCCTAAAATCCAAAATTAACGCTCGAGTTAATTATCCAGCTTCATTGGCTTCCATGTTAATGATTTGTATGTAAAGAGTACCACGTCGAGTGGCGGTAATTTGAACCGAGGTGCGTCGTTGTCCCTCTGAGAGGGTAGCGCGAGGGATGCAGCTTACACGTTGCGGCCTTTCTTCTAGTTTCTCTCGTTCTCTTCGTCTCTCGGTCTCCCTGTGTTAAACCGTACATGTCTATATACAAATACGAGTCCGCTAGCTGCGATGGCTTTCCCGCCCCGCAAATCCCGGAGCCCCGGCGAGAGGTACCCTGCGAATCCCAGCGATCCCCTGCGCCTCCCCCAGCACACGTCCGCCAACACGACCACACACGTGCACGCTCTCTCACACGGTCACACACAAAACAAAAAAAACAAAAAAAACCAACGCAGAGAACGCAGTCAGAGCAGAGTTAGTAGCCAAGTGGACTGACAGTAGCCACTGGCTACCGCACGCATGCAGGGTCGGAAGCGGCTCGCGTTCACGATCAAACAGAAAATGAAGATCATCCAAGAGATCGAGCGCGGCAAGAGCAAGAGCGACGTCGCCAGGGAGCTCGGCCTGGCCAGCAGCACGGTCGCCACCATCTGGAAAAACCGCGAGAGCATTGCCGAGAGCTGGAGAAACCGCGACATGATGCAGTCCGAGGCAGAGACCTCGGAGGGGACGACGGCGCCGGCGACGACGACGACCAGCGCCGCCAAGAAGTCGTCGCCGATCGCCGCGCCCTCTGCCCCGACCCAACAACCGACGGACAACACCCACCAGGCCCAGACTCAAACGCAAAATCAGGAACTCCTGGAGGTAAGATGTCGTTACCTCCTGGCGTCCAGCCCCATCCAACCTCCCCAAGCTTCCCAGGAAACCCGGCGAGTCGCTTTTCCGCTTACGGAGTCACCCGCGACACCATCGAGACACCCCCGACAGGCAGATAAGACACCTGCACCACCTCGCGACCGGAGGAACCGTGGACCTGATAAGAGACAGGTGGAAGTTTTCGACGAACCTCGAGATGGGAGGAAGAAACGCGCGGCGGCCATCTTTGCTCTTGCGGGGGAAAGAAATGAAAAAAAAAAAAAAACTATGAATAAGATTTTAAGTGTGAAAGCGTTTTAATCACTGTTTGGATTTTTATTCTTTCGCGGTGAACATCCCGAACGTTAGTGTTAACTTATTGTGCGATAATGTTGACTCTGACGACGGTGATGGCTTTCATTTGAAGGTAAACGCGCGCGGTTATGGATGTCCTCGTTTAGCTTGATATTTCTTAATTTAATGGAGAGGGACATTCAATTCTGATAATTGAATGCAATGTACAGGACGATTTCGTGATTTTTTTTCTTTTTATCATATCTAAAGAAAGCCGCGGTACTCTATACCTGCGCAGCAAAGATGGCCGCCTATCATTTATTCTTGCGTCTTGAGCTTCAGTCCCCTGGTCAAGAATTATACTTTACGTTCCATCAGTTTCTTCTTAGGTGCATAGTTTTTCACTGGAAGGGTCGACTACGCTTCCTTAACTCATTCAGAAAACTCGAGCAATGACAGTACCGATGTTGATTGAATGTTTAATTTGGCACCACGTGGAGAAGAAAAAGAGAAAGAAAATTATTGGAAGCGAAGCTCACCGCCGAGGTTCTTCCTGACGTTAGAATTTGTCCCCGGTTAATAAAGCGCCGTTAAATTTATACTTTCCCTCCGGGTCATTACCCGCGTACGTAAGTACCCCGTAGTTACGTGTGCAAGCTCGTGGATGTGTGTACCTTTACTTACGTATGCGCGTAGCTGAATTACATTTTCCCCCTCCGAACCCCCTTCACACAGTTAATTTCCAATTACAATTAATTGTGTACGTTAGGCTGACGTCCGACCTCCGGCAAAAATTCGGGGAGGCGGGATTTTTTGTCGGAAAAGTGCGTATATTAATTTTCTTTTTTTTTCTCTTCTTTCTCCCGGTCCAACCGCGGTTGACAAAAGGTGGTGCGCGGTGTCTGCCAATCCCGGCCAGCTGTCATCCGCTCGTTGTCACCGATGACAGCGGTAGTGTACTCTCTGTAGTGTGTATAGTGAGCGTGACGAGTCGATAGGCGTTATCGAGACGATCGATCATACATCTCCTATGACGATGTCAGATCCAACGCGGTCAAAATCGAGAAAAGTGTCGTCTTCTCGCTGAATAGGGTGTCCTGTTTTTCGAATAGTCCTCGTCCCTCTCCCCGTAGGTCCCGGAGGGAAAGACACCGGGGAAAAACAGGACACGCTTCTCCTGGGGGATAAGAGAGATACGGCGAACCGATTTTCCGGCAAAAGAATATATACGTACGTCAGGAAATAAATAAGAATACCCGAAAGAAAGAGAAGAAGAAAGAGAGGGTCTCGCTCGCACTCGCAGTGGTCGGCGGGACGTAGGTACATGTCGTATATGTAGTAGGTTTACTATATATATAAACTATATATATATATATTTATATACCAACAGCCGCAACACTATCCTGTGCCTAGCTTCTCCTGTCACTATATATAACAGCTAGCCGTATCATCCAGCATGTCATCTCTTTTCGAGTATCTATATATCGATATATATATGCGTACACCACCTCGATCCTTCATTATAATGTATACGTATATTGATATATACCAGCCCTATTTTTATAGATATTTATATTTGCGCCGATTGCCGAGGATTAAACGCGCGTGTCCAAGTATAGAGCGCACGTCTAATTCGCAGAATAATACATGACTGCACATGTTGTAAATGCACTGTACTTCCGATATATATATTATATATTATATATGTATATATATATAATATATACTACACGTAAAGGCCGGATTTTTTACAGTGTACAAGCTTGCGAGGAGACTCGCGTGTGCACATTTACATGTCATTATTATGGGCAATTTGCTTGGACCCTGCATGCGCGACACGCTTCGTTTATTTATTTTATTTTTTTTTCTTCTATTCCTCGTTTACATTCGACCTAGTCTTATTACATTTAAGGCTCTTTCGTGTTCTGGGTGTTGATTACTGATTACTGATTATTGATTACTGATTACTCTCGTTGCTGGTCACCACGTGGAGACTCCTCCTCGTGTTTCCCTCTCGTAGTTTAGTCGATATTAAGGTTCTCTCTCTCTCTCTTTCTCTCTTTCTAGTTATCTTTTTCTCCTCCTTCTTCATCCCCTCCGGCTTTATTCAAGATTCACATTTTTTCCGGGGTCTTCACTCGCTGTGCTAGAAGCTTGACTCATCCTTCGAATTTCTCTACGTTTTTTATATCACTACTCTGTTACATTATCGTTATTTATCTCTCAGCTGCTCTCTTTCTCTCTGGTTTCTTTTACACCGCATGCTTTAAACGTTCAGATAGATCAAGGTATACTACCGAGAAGTCTTCATCTTGGGATCTTTGACTCGACATTTGTACGTTGGTTAGTTCTTGTTCTTCATGCGATTACCAGGCTCCGTTCGGATATCACTCCGGACTCTTTTCAGATTAATTCGATATTGCTGATATTGTTGTTGCTGATAGATTATCGTGGACTGTTAATGTTACTTTGCTGAGAACTCTTAGACTCTAATGGCTCTTGAAGATGCACCCTCGAATTTCTCGGTATACAGTGCATTACACTGGTTAAAAATTGTTAGATAATTAAATTTTGTTCTATTAGATTTTTTTAGGGTGCCGCTTCAAGCGAAAGGAAATTAATATTAATTAAATTAATATTAAAATAAATTCACTCTTTTGTATACAGTGCTGAGTGCAGGGACATTTAGCAGCGTTGCTGAAATTAATGAGAATAAATTATTGTCCTTTTTTTAAATCATTGTTTGAGCACCCAGCAAGTATACCAGAGAGTAGCAGTCAAGTTTGAAACGAAGAGATCCTTGATGATCGATATTATCTTTCCTTCTGCGTCAGATTATCATTATCAATGTTACCTTGCAGTTGTCAATTCGGATAGTAAGAGTAGATTGACGAAGGATATATACAAAAAAGAAAAAAAAAAATAAGAAATGTTCGTTTCACACTTGTGGCTCCCGCGAATTGCGCGGCGATTTATCCGCGGTATCACAATATATCGCGATATATCGTCCGCTTTATTCTCTCTGTACTCTATTTTTTTTCTCGTACGATTATGGATGCGAGTGACGTGTGTGTGGCATGTTACGCAGGCGCGGAAAAAACGGCAGGAAGAGGTGGAGAAGATCCGAATGGAAGAGCAGCAACGGAAGCAACAGGTAACGTAACATTGATTAACACTATACGTCGCATAATGTGCGGTAGAATTGCCGAAAGAAGGGAAAAGTACAATGAACATAAGAATTTGCATCTCTACGGTGAAAAGAAATAAACATCGCACGTCTTTATCCGTCCTACATAAGGGCTTCACTTTTACATATCATGAGTTATTTCCGTATCCGATCATTTTTCGCTTGCTTAATAAATTCATGAATTCCACCCAGAACAATGTAATAGAGTATTAACAGGTGCTACTCTTGTACTTCCAGGAGCGGGAACTAAAGAGGCAACAAGCAGTAATGTTGAAGGAACAGGTGAGTCCTGGGGAAGGAAAAAAAAAAAAAGACATATCACATTATCGTGAGTGATACGGTCGTTATTGGTAGTCATAGAGTGTGTGCGGTAGCATTGGTCTCGATGTCATGATTCCCGCTGCTTTTGTTACCTCTAAAGTTCACGTACGGAAGGAATGGCGCGAGATGAAGATGTCTAAAAAATTGTCACTTGCAATTAAAATGCAAACGTGGGCATGTATATATTTGTTTTTCTTTGTGAAGCAACGTCTTGCACCGTTCCTTCTTGCTGCATACCACGCGGAAAAAGTTGTGCGTAGAAACGTTGACTTAAATGTTGTCTGGTTGCCCTCGACTGTAAGATCTCTTACGGTGACGTACAGTAATGGTCATGAATGCCTTCCCCAGGGTATATCGGCAGCATTGAGTTCACCGAGAAGGCATTCATGCCCGGCATTGTACACGTCGTTTGCGAGCCTTGGTATCTCGCGTGTGCCACGTGTGTTGATGCGTGTACTCTATCATCTTTTGTGAATGGCCTCTGTCTCAAGTCTACGGGGAGAGAGAAAGAGCCGGGCCGACATCGCCACACACACGTTCCTCGACTTTGATTTTGATTTTGATTTTCATTTTCTCACCGAGATTCTCTTTCGTTTTCTGGGAGTGCACTGCTGGCCGATCGCCGGCGATAACTCGCGGGGATTCTTTTTCGAGGGCGATTTTAGGCCGGGAGAGACACGGAGTTCGTTAGTTTGAGAGAACTTTCTGCGGTGGGTTTGAGCACTGGTGGACTGTGGATGTGTTTTGTGCCGCAGATGTACATGCAGGAGCTCAGCAAGCAGCGCGAGATGCTCTACACCGTCGAGCTGGTATGTCTCGTACCCAAAACCATGACCTAACCATAAAAGTCCCGAAAACCGTCTGAAAGCCTTCAGACGTTCCGTCTTTATGCACCTTTCTGCGCAGGGATGGGCCGGCCTTAACGCACCCGCCACGTGGCTCGAGCTGTCAAAATCAGCTGATCGGCCCCCGCACTCTACAGGGCGTATCAAAATTGGCGACCGCGGTTTACACGGCGTTATCCTTATTAAAAAAAGAAGCCGGAAAGTCCTATACCATTTTTCTCTACGTTATATAATTTATTTATAATAATCAATGGAGAGATAGAAAATCAGAGGTGTCTAATTAGCAGCATTGGTACAATTTTCAATAAGGATGGCACTGAAAAAGCCATGGACAGCAATTTTGTCGCACCTGTATAGTACATCGGCATTAGTCGGGAGACAGTACATCGGAAAATGTTGTGAAAATTATTGAATTGTTTATAAAAATTCGGGATTACAAATGTATATCTGGGTCGAAGAGGGTCGATTTGTGCCCATCCCTACGATCACCCAAAGGTCAGATCCGATAATTCTGAAACTCACTATAGTCGGCCCGATAGACATGGTACACACATGGTCATGCAACTTTCGGCAAACAATAATTAATAGAAGTCTTTCATTCTCTCCCGCGCCGGTGCAGGGGAGCACGCATCCGTAGCTCGGCACTATAGCTATGGTTTTCCATGATTTTTTTTTTCCCCCCTTAGACATATTTGATCATACTTTATGTTTATACTCTCTGCACGGTGTTCCTCGTACACGTCTCTTGCGTTTCCTCTATTTTGGGGCGGTATATAGTAGACTTGTCACTGTATCTCATTCAAAATTCTCCTCGACCTGCTGAAACGTCGGCGAACACTGCCAGGGTTAACTTATCGGGAATTAACGAGATTTTTCGGCATCCTAGGAGAGAGAAAGGAGGAGGCAGCACATGGCGTTAGTTCGGGCTCTGGAGAACCGACGAAGAATGGAGGAGAGGGAGAAAAGGAGGCTCGAAGCGAGGGCTGAGAGGATAGCCACGAAAGAGAAGCGCGCCGAGCAGAGGAAAGTAGAAATGGAGCTGATCGAGCAGATCAGGAAGCCCATCGAAGACATGGAGCTCACGGGTAAGTGTCCAATTAAATAGTTACAAAAAAATTCAGGGGTCATTATAATTAATCCTGATTTTTTTTTTTTTCCAGACCACAGACCACTGCCAGAACTGAAGAGGGTACCAGGTCTGAAGCTGTCGGGCCAGGCGTTCTCGGACATCGTTATGGTATTCGAGTTTCTGCACAACTTCGGGGAGACCCTGGGCTTTGGTAAGGAACATCGCCTCCTAGAATTGGAGAACATCGATTCTATAATGATTTGGAATTTTTTGTGAATTTTTTTACCGGCTGATTTTCGCGTTGGGATCTACTGTACACGTTCATTGTATTCTTTTTTTTTTTTTATTTATTTCTCCAGACATGGACTCGTTGCCGAGCCTGAAGAGTCTGCAACTGGCGTTGCTGAACGACGAGGAGGCCGAAGAAGAGATGCTCTCGGTGATGACGCACCTCCTGGTGTGTGCCATAGAAGATCCAGGGATCCCCCAGCCAGCCCGTCACACGACAGGCCTTGGCCAGAGCCTGAGACAAGCTGACATCACGCATGCCAATATCAGCGAGGTCCTCAGGATCTATTTGTACGCGAACGCGACCGGCGAGGTTAAGGCGTTGACCGGAGTCTGTCTAGAACGCGAACGCGACAAGAAGTTCGCCGACCATCACCAAAACGGAGCCGACTTCGCCTCTACCTGCTCCGGGAAGAATGCGCAGTTTTACGAGCACCTCCACAACAACGAGACCTGGAGGATGTCCGAGAGACTGAGAGACAAGCCCTTCCTCGCCCTGAACCCGACGCACAAGGCGCAGATGCTGGGGTTCCTCTGCAACGAGTTGCTGCAGAACAAGGCTGTGATAAGGCAGATCGAGGGGAGCCTCGAGACGGTGGCGCAGCTGAAGAAGGAGAGATTCGTGTTAGACACTAAGATCAGGAAGTAGGTTCAGGATTAAAAAAGAGGCTCCTGATAATTTCTCGCCGTCTGATACCCCAGTGTACTAACGCGTGGTTTTCCTTTCAGACTGAGACAACTGCACAGTCGAAAAGTCAGGATGGAGGCAGTTGGGGTGATCGTGAACAAGTCTGGTGACACGATAACCATCGAGAAGAAGGAGGTCGACGAAGAGTGCAACACGACGTCCACGGCGGTCGGAACGACTCCCACGCCGGAGGAGATCCACCACGAAGACGAGGTCGAAGACATGTCCGAGAACGAGAGCGAAGGCACGCAGCCTGAAGAGGTTGGTTTCGTCCATCCAGTGTTTAGGGTAAAGTGGTAGAGTGTACGGTAATTCCTTTGATTTTCCTTAACAGGAGGAGGATAAGAACCTGTCGGGCGAGGAGCTGGGGAAGAAGCTGGACAAGTTGTTGAAGCAGTCGGAGGAACAGCTGCAGAAGTTGAACAGCTCCTCGAAGCAGCTGCGAGCTCACGTCCTAGGTCAGGATAGATACTGGAGGCGGTATTGGGAGCTTCCCTGTGCAGGTGGAATTTTCGTGGAGGCCATGGAAAGTGCCGAACCCGAGATCTTGGACCTCCAGGCGGAGTTGGACGAGAAGTACAAGGACATGCCCCCGGAAGAGATGCCGGAAGTGAAGGAGGAGGTCAAGCCTAACAAGGTCGACGCCATGGAGAGCGTGGAAAACGAGAAACCAGGCGACGTTAAGGAGAACTCGGAGGAGAAGGTCAACGCGGAGGAGCCGAAGGAGGAGGCGAAGTACGACTGCGGGGTGACGAAATTCGAGGAGGACGTCAACTGCAAGAAGGAGAACCCGCGGAATTTCGTGGCGGAGAATTCAGAATTCCCGAAGGATGAGAAAATTAGAAACGACGTCGACGGCATGATGACCGACGCGAAGACCAACGTGACGTCGGAGGAGATCAAGCAGGAGACGGAGGTCATGAAGATGGAGGTGGACGTTAAAATCGAGGAGATCAAGAAGGAGACCGACGACACCGAGGACGAGTCCTGCAACAAGCCTGTCGCCAAACTGATGGAGGACAAGATCGTCGAGACCATGCCGAACGGCGACAAGTTCAACCACGTGAACAACCTGCACAACGGCAAGGAGCTGAACGGCACCTTCATTTCCGGCGGCGGTAGCGAGTCGAGTTGGTTCTCGATAATCCCTCGAGAGTCATGCGACACTCCTGGACCCTGTACCAAACAAATCTTCGGTATCGTCGAGCCAACGGAGCTGAGGATACCGGTCTTTCCTCCCCCAGCTAGTCCCAGCTACGACAGGTGCGACAGCCCTGCACCTTTAATCCTGACTCAGGATGAGGCAGTACAATTAGAGTACTTAAAAGTACACGGACTACCACCACCGGGTGAAGCCAAACCAGTGCCAAAGGGTAATGCCTGGTCATTGTCCAGATTATACGAGTGTCATACGAATGCACCCTTTAACCCTGAACGATCCGTTTCAGATCTGAGGTACGGCTGGTGGAGGATAGCGGACGTGGACACCTTCCAGGAGCTGCTGGAGCATCTTCACTCCCGCGGGGTTCGCGAGAAAGAATTGAAGCGCACAACCTGGGCCACCATGGAGTCCTTCCTGGCCGTGACCGGGAGGATCCACGTGGACCCTGGGAACGCAGCTGCGACCGAGCTGCTGTGCGAGAGCGAGGACGTGGACCTTCCCATCCCGCAGCCGGATCATCCTGATTCTTGGAGCGAGCAGGTCGCCCTGAGGGTGGACGCGCAGCTCCTGGAGCAGGTCGAGGCCCTAGAGGACAAGGTGGCCAACGCGAGCATGCAAGTCAAGGGCTGGAAGCTGCCTCCACGGGCTGGTACCGAGGAGGCCGAGGAGATAGAAAAGCTGAACGAGATGGAGAAGGTCAGCGCGGTGGAGCAGGCGAGGCAGAGGCTACTTTCCTTGGAAGCTGCCATCGAGAGGAGATACCTGAAGCCACCATTAGGCGTTTGGTGAGGACTCATGGCTTTATCTCTAACCTCCGATACCAGACTTAAGGTGGCTCCAAGATATTAAATCATTTATACAACGTTTTTTTCATAATGGAATACACCGAATCCTGTGAAACTTCAGAAGTGCTATTGCCGTCACCTTAGATCTAGGCTTTTAAATTCGACCGCGCCATGATATCCAATTTTCCTCAGCACGGGGGATCCCAATCTCGCAGCCCTGAAGGCAGAGCAGGCGGCCGCAGCGAATGCTAGCTCGAGCACCTCGGATCAGGGTGGGCAATCGCTTCCCCCGCAGGAGGAAACGACTCCAAGAGGACTGAACAACTGGCGCGAGGCCACAGCCAGGGCTCACACTTCCGCCCAGCTCGCGATGGCCCTTTACATGCTCGAGGCCAGCATCGCCTGGGACAAGAGCATCATGAAGGCTGTGAGTCTAACACCAGCTAGAAACTCAGTCTGCGTCAAGCTACGAAACCGCTGCGTCTCACTCAAAGCTACCACTCAGTACAATCAGCTATTGACTACTACTCAGGCCTCTGTGGGTATTCGCACTAACTTTACTAACCAGTCCCTTGGTCGTCCACCTCATTCTCAGTCCACTCCAAGCCGATCCGATCAACCCCGAAGAACTAGCTTGCTCTTCGGGGCTGATGAAAATTCATTTCCACCCTCTTAACCCGCTTCCTCACACATCGGCATTCCTTGGCGGTCGCAATCGGCTCTATCAGTCGCAATTTCCACTGTTAAGGATTTTTTAGACGCACCGTGAAAATCAGCTGATTGCGACGCGAAGGCAAGGGTGCCTGCAATTCCAGCGGAGCACGAGTTCACACATCTTTCTCATACAGTTTTTGACAATCACTTTTTTACCCGAAAGTGTCCTTAGAATTTCATCACTGATTAATACAGATTATTATTAATGTAACAGTCGTTTAACGTCACGTTTCGTTTCTTTATTGCGATTGAGTGCGACTTAGAGTGCAGAGACTCATGTGCGAACGTCTCTTCATCCGTTGAATTATGAACGTGATGATGAGAGAGAAAGAGAGAGAGACGGAGACAAGAAAAGAGAGCTGACGGTAGTCGAACACATCCGTTAACGATAGCATGCGAAATTAAGCAGCAGTTCCCTCGTTTTTGAATGGACCCTTCGTTTTCATTACGCTTTCAAGACATCGCTTACTTAATGTCGCTTTTATTTTCGGTCAACGTGCTTGCCATTCCGCTTCGCCTGTACATTTAATAGCCATCAGATATTAACGTTATGCGCACTCTCCGTATTTAATCCTCCCCTGCCCTAAGATCCTAAGATTACATCCTCTCTTGATATGTATTACATATTCTTTAACCCATGTTTTGGTGTATAGACTATACTTCAATGTGTTGGAAGGTCTCCTTACGACGAGATTCACCTCGAGCCTTATTAACCAGTTAACTGCGATCCTCGAGTATATACAAGTGACACTAAAACTGTATTTCGCTAAGTTCTGCAATTAACTGGCTAAAACTAACTGCAACTCGATAAAAAGATCCACGTCAAATCTCTAAATGCACCGAATTCCAGTTACACTTCTACTGTCACTTTACTCTTCCACTGATCTCCGAGTATCTTCCTGTTGCAGAACTGCCAGTTTTGTCATAGCGGAGACAACGAAGACAAATTGTTGCTGTGCGACGGCTGTGACCGCGGCTATCATACTTATTGCTTCCGTCCAAAAATGGAAAACATTCCCGATGGCGACTGGTACGTGCCTGCGAGGCGTAGGGCAAAATGACAAGGCATGCAAGGAAAAGAATCCAAATTAATAACTAAACACCTTTCAGGTATTGTCACGAGTGCATGAACAAGGCAACGGGTGAAAGAAATTGCTTGGTGTGTGGCAAGAGGGTCGGCAAGAATTTAGTTCTCTGCGAACTGTGCCCGAGGGCGTACCACACCGACTGCCATAATCCCGTCATGCCAAAGGTAACTTGTCCCTACAACGATAAAATAGGATGAAGTATATTAAAGTGCATTATAATACACTGAAATACAACATGGAACCTTAACAATTGCTTTTTCCTGTCATCTCAGATGCCAAGGGGAAAGTGGTATTGTTCGAACTGTCATAGTAAGCAACCAAAGAAGAGAAACAGCAGTCGGAGAAGTCACGCGAAAGGCAGCGGCAGTGGCAGTGGCAACACTGGCGGCAATGCTGCCAGCACAGCCAATAGCAGCAGCGGAGGAGGCAGTGGAGGGGGAAGTGGCGGTGGTAGCGGTGGTGGGGGCGGAGGAGGCGGAGCCAGCGGAGGAGGGGGAGGCAGTGGTGGCGGAGGAGGTGGTGGGGGCAGTGGTGGAGTCACCAGAGACAGTGAAAGCTCCGATCATCCACCAACTAGGTGATTAATGATTCAGAAATGAGAGTGAAAAGACCCTGCTTACAATTGTTCATAGAAGGAAAAAAAGACAAGTATATCGATCATGCGAAAAATGCATGCGATTTCATTTGCGTCCAGTCTGAACGATGTTTTTCTTTTCTTTTTTTTTCTTCACCGCGTAGAATTCTATGGAACATTTTGACCAGGGCGACGATAAGAAAAACCGTAATCGCAACGATTGTAATCAGTCCGCTGTAATCGTTTAACGAGATTCGGCAACTCGGTTACATGAATTGCAGATTGCACGGTCGATTTTGTATATCAATGTAAAGGAATTTTAAGTAAGATTTTGTGGTAACTCAATATTTGAAATTATGTAGCTTAGTTATATACATATATGATATTGGTAGGAAACCAAGCGCGATTCACTGCCCTGGTACGGTAGATAAAAAAAAAAAGAATGGCTTTTAAGAATTTGCCCAGGGCCAGTGTCGTAGAATTCGCCGCAAGAGAAGTCTCCTGGTCTCAATGGGGAATTTAATTTTTTTGTTTGATACAGGGTGTTCCACGGGAGGCCCGAGGCAGTTTACTCCTACGTTAATGGCGCCAAGGAACTAGCCCCGTGCGGGAGCGGTACGGTTCGATTGGGTGCCCTCTGAATATCTAAAAAGAGTTTTATTCGTATTGGCCATCGCGGGACACCCTGTACATTGTCCTGGCGTGATAGAGGTTCTCACTCGGCGCGCGACAGAGGTTCTCTCCGTTCTCGTTGGCAGGATTTCGGTTTCGAGGTCCTGTCGAGGACGGAAGAGCTCGCATCGCGGATCGGTCTTGAACGGGACCAGGTTTGGGTAATTTAACCGATGCTACGTGACACATAATTTTCTCTCGCTTGACTCGTTACCGATGTACCGACCAAATGGGTCCATCGAAAACGAGGGAAGCGACCTCTCGTAGATTTGGAGAGAATTTAGCTCGGTGGAATACCCAGAGTCCTGGACTTTGTTCCAAGGCCGATCACCTCTTCGAACTGACAATGAGAACCGCTAGCGCGTCGAGAGTCGGCAAAGGAACCCCTGGGCAGCATCTTCTCTGCAACGATGCAATGATGTTCTTTTGGGCCGCAGTCCAACCCCGTCAATGGCATCGAATGTGCACGTAGAGGATGCCAGCTCCTCGGAACCTCCGACGCCGACGGCCTCACCGCGAAAGGAGACCAATACCGGGGGCAGGAACCTGACGAAGAAACAGCAACGCGAACTGGCACCCTGCAAGCTCCTGCTGGAACAGCTCGAACAACAGGACGAGGCTTGGCCGTTTCTCTTGCCGGTCAATACTAAGCAGTTTCCTACTTACAAGAAGATCATCAAGACTCCCATGGATCTCAGCACCATCAAGAAGAAGCTCCAAGACACGGCGTACGTATGGTACCTACGATAAACACCTCGCTATGAATTAATAATTAATTACCCTACAAGCTCCTCCACGATTCAGAAGTTAAGAAGATTCATTCTTACCTTCCTTTTTGTCTTCATCTCGTAGCTAGGAACAATATATTTCCAATTGAATTCCTAATATTTCTTCCTTGAAATTAAATTCGGTTTGAAATTTATCCCCCTTAGGTTTAATATTTACCCTCGGAAGTGAACCTTTTTTTACTAAGGAAAATAATGCGTTACGCGTGATCGCAATTATGACTGTAACAAAGTTTTAATAATGGAGACTCACCGAGTGTTTCTTGGCTTGGTTTCATTTTTTTTTTCTGTACTTTTCCTTTTCACTTGTTTAACCATACTTATCAAGGATGTCGTTGTGTAGGTACAAGTCGCGGGACGAGTTCTGCGCGGACGTGCGTCAGATGTTCATCAACTGCGAGGTCTTTAACGAGGACGACAGCCCGGTCGGCAAGGCCGGCCACGGGATGCGCAGCTTCTTCGAGATGCGCTGGACCGAGATCACAGGGGCGCCGCCCCCGCCGTTGCCCCCGCACCCACACCCCCAGACGCACAGCTGAGGCTCAGCGAGGTCTCGCAGCAGTTGTGCCAGTTTCGCACACTTTTACTATTAGCCGGGGCTTTAAGGCGCGACCGCGCGGCCAACGCGGTCCGCATCCGATATAGCGCGGTCGGGTCGGTCGCGTTTTAGCGGCCGACCGGCGCGTCCGCGTCTTAAGCAGCATTCTCACTTAAGGACACCCTTTGGCCGCCAGCGATCCCTCGCCGCTCTTCCCTTTTCTCTCTTCCCCCTCTGGTACCTGCGCGACACGGAACAAGGACTAATTTCGCATACACTCGTCCTGGGCGTTGCTAGAAAAAAGAAGAAAAAGAAAAAAAGAAGAAGAAACAATAGCGCTAACGTTTCCCTAAAATACTTTGCAATTCCGGTACCTCGTGCAGGGGCCTCCAGCGGTCGCTGTGCGGCATTGACCTTGGAGCACTGCCGATGCAACGTCCGCAGCGCCGCTGCGGAGTAACCGTAAAGTAATCTGCATAACGTAAATTTCGGCAGTAATTTCGTACCGAGCGTCGCAAAATTGGAGGTCGCTGTTACTTGAAATACAGTGAGAGCTACGTGGAACCCGCGGGCCACCGTCGCGCCATCTTGCGGCGCTCCTTGGAGCTAACTTTTTTCTAACGACTTGTGGGCAGTCCCGCGAACGTTCGATACTTTTCCGAGGTGTATAAAGAAACTTGCGGCGTCCATTGGCGAGCGACGATTCGTTATCGTGAGGTCTCTTTGTATTCTCCGTGTCGCGCCGATGCATTGTTTGCATATCCCGGCGAGATCATTCTCAAGCGGCGAGTCCCGAATCCGACCGGGCGCGAAATCGAGGGCCCTTACGTTGTACAGAGTATTCCGCGAGGAAGCGAGAGGGAGGGACAGAAAGAGAGAAAGAGAGACGGTCGTTGTACTTACGGAGAGGAAGAAGAATCGAAATAACTTCTGCCTAAAGCGAGTAGAGTCGTGATTATATTCGCAGTTGTATTATATACATATTAATAGGCTTAAAAAGTGCCGGGACGCGAGTTGTCCCGGCAGAGGAAATATTTTGCAAAGTGATGAGATACGTCGCGCGTGAAACGAGNTATATAGACATTACATGCTCATGTATGTGCACACACACTCACACAGACATACACACACGCCCACGTACACGCCAAGCACCGTAAGGGTAATAACGTTGTTGTGTAGTAGAGTGCGAGAGTGCGGGTCGACGATGTGGAAGTCATTTGGCTGTCACTTTTTAACATTCTCACTTTTACGTTATCTCCTGTTTTTTAATCAGGTCTTATCGTTGATTTTAACGTTCGCGTACGTGGAGTGGGCCGAGTGGCGGAGGGAGGACATCTCGACCTTGTATTCGCTTGTCAGTATTTTAATGTCACTAATTTAATCAGCCGTTAAATTAAGCGCGTAGAGAGTGAGGAAAAATGGGGAGAAAGGGGAACGGGCCGAGTGTAGAGCGGGCGCGCCAAGTACACGCCCCTTTTTTAGCGGATAGGCTGTACAGTGCCGGAGGCGAGAATTCCCGTCTTCTAGGGTAATGGACGAATCGAGTAAATGTTAAAAAGTAAGGACCGCCCGTAGATCCCGATGTCACGAGACTGCTCCGTGTCGCGTTCGCGTCTATTCCTTTGACTTTCGACGGGTATTCCCTTCGACCTCCATTGACGTGACCCGAGGAGTGACCGACCTGGAGGGATCGCTCCTTTAATTAAAAATATCACTTCCGGTTCTCGGTCGCTCCTCTCCAATCCACTGCCGTGTAGGACTTCCACGGGTGAGGACGGAGAAATTCCAGTTTAAGGGCAAAGCGATTCATTTTCTCCTTATTTCAGCGGGAGAGCCGACGCGAAGGACGCCGTCGCGTTCCTTGTTCCCAGGAATTCTTGCGTGTATGTGTGTATGTGTGTATGGCAGAACTGACGCGAGAGACTTCGAAAGGCCTCGGAAGAATCTAGCTAAGGGGCTTTCTTTTCCCAATTTCCCTTGAGTCCTCGGAACGTCTCCAGAGTCTCCCGGCGTTCTTCCTTCGAAACCAAGATGGCCGCCGCGTCCCCCTTGTGCGTTGAACCTGCAAATTCCGAGAATTGCACCCCGAGTGGTGCAAAGCGAGGCCCTTCTTTTATATGTAATCGATGTAAATTATTCTCGGTGACGGCGAGCCTCGAGTCCACAGTAGTCGTAGCGATGATAAGTGATGATAAGGGTTTATAAGCGATAGATACCGGAGCAAGAGCCTGTCGGAGAATGATTAGCGGTACTCGATGGCTACTTTTACGACGTTTGGCGGACTTTTACGATGGTTTTCGGTTAAACGTCGCGAAGGTAGACGGATCGAGATTTCGCGTACAATTATTCTCGATAAGGATCGCTTTAACGAAATCGCCGCGCAGCTTCGGGACAGCTTTAGAGTTGCGAACGGGTGCGTGCATCTTCGCGGCGCGTCCGGTCGAATGATAACGGATCGGCCCGAAATTAGACGACCTGTCCATTATCGAGCTATGCAACTGCGGTTCAACGAGCAATGGCGTTGCGTAGAGTGCGATTCACGAATAGCGCGACCCACTTTTCTCCGTTATCGGACACTGCGACGCGTCCGATAAGAGGACGGCGAGATATCGTGCACACCCTACACACACACACACACACTCACACACACTCACACACATAGCGGCGAGAGAGGAAACGAATAATTTTTTAAGATACCCAATTTTTATTTAAATAGTACACGTTAACACGGACACACACACATACACACAGTTACATTGTTAGTACGGATAACGACGCTTTTTATACGGATTTTAGTTTTTAAACGTCGATCTTACGGTATGAACATATATATTATATAGCGTAACACGACGATGATAATAGGATAAATAACAATAAACGATTAACGATATCCGATAACGGTATTGATTAAAGGTAACGAAAGGGGGAGAGCATAGCCGAGAGAGAAAGAGAGAACGAGAGAGAGTGTGAGAGGGTGAGAGGGTGAGAGGGTGAGAGGGTGAGAGGGAGAGAGAGAGAGAGAGGGAGAGAGAGAGAGAGAGAGAGAGAGAGAGAGAGAGAGAGAGAGAGAGAGAGAGAGAGAGAGAGAGAGANATACCATGCGGCAGTTGACGGTGGTGGCTTACCTACGCTTACCGACACTGCTCTGTATGTAGACTAGATGAGACGCACTTCTGCGTACAGATTGTGTTGCTAGATATGGCTAGGGACAGCGCTGCCAGCTGTCCCAATTTCGAGAAACTAAAACTCCGACGGTAATGTAAGGCATTACGCCTAGATTTGTGGACGTACAATTTTACATATTGATCTGTAAAAATTCACCGGTTATCAAACAATTGCAACTCGAGCGCACTTTGTACCCATTGACGATAATTGTAATTAAGTCTATAACGATGTAACTGAAAATACGAATGTAGACACTTGTGTAATTATGTTCTCCGCAGCTGCCTACGATCCACTCGTCTCTGTATAGATTTTACGTAGAATTAATTAAATTGAAGCTTTACTCATTTTTTATTCGACGTGTAACGTCATTAAAATGATTTCTGGAAATGCTCGCGATATTAGCCTTGGAATGAATTGGTAATAAAAACAGTCTCCGAGTCCATGACTTCCCTGATTTTTCCTGCCTACCGGTGTGGAGATTTCTTTGCGATACTTCGTCCTCTGGTGTAGAGGAAAGGTGAAGGATAATCTTGTGAGGATGTAGATGAATGGAGATAACCTTTTCCTAGGTACGTTGCAGTTACTGCAGCCCCCATGGAGCGTGTGCAATCAGCTGCGAGTGGTTTTGCGAAGCGAATCAAGCTTTGCTCCAAAGCGTGTCCTGGTTCTCGCTAAAATGTCCAGATACGAATTCGAGAAAATGCGAGCCCCCCATCTGGACGAGTGTACGTTAAAAATGAAGATTTTAGAGCGAGGCAGTGATTACGATGCGATGCTTGCAAGTTACAATGCCATTCAGCTTGCTGTGCAATATACTACAAAAGCCCTGAAGGAGCTTAATGTGGAGTATAATGTTTCCAACAGGTAAGATAATATATAACTCTCTTCGAAAGGGAGCTTTAACATAATAAATTGGGTTAATCATTTAGAACACAGGTTAAACAGTCTCAGTTCGACTGGGCTGATTTAATTTTCCCCATCGGAGGGGATGGCACGTTCCTCTTGGCATCGAACTTGATCTTCAACAGCAAGAAGCCAATAGTGGGTATCAATCCGGACCCAGGCTCTTCGGAAGGATTTTTAATGCTCCATCCAAAGTACAGTCAGAATGTGCCAGAGATATTCTATAGGCTGCGGAATGGGCAATTTAAATACCTCCTGCGGAATAGGATAAGAATAAAGCTCCAGGGTGACAACATCTGGGGCGAAGCGTTCCATGTCCACAAGCAGAGTCGAGTTGCTGGTCCCGAAAGGCACTGAAAAGATATTCAGTTCATTAACATATTTAATTATCCATGCAAAGTAAATTTAATAGTATATTTATAACCGTAGTCGAGTTTTATTTCAGGATCGAAGTTGACAGCGGAGAAGTCAAACCGACTAAAGACGCAAAACTGCCAAATGAGAGACGATTACCTTGGCTGGCTCTAAATGAGGTGCTGAAACGCTTTGATTAAATCAGGTTGGTGTATAATTAATGTTACACTGGAAGGTAAATAATAAATAACAAAGTGTACACCATGTAACATTAATTATGCACTAAGATTTTCGAGACAGTCCTTCATTTTGCATTCCTTTCAAGGTGTTCATTGGTGAGTCACTACCCGCAAGGGCAAGTACTCTCCTGGTGAAGGTGGACGAAGACGACGACAAGTTCCTCAAGGTGAAGAGTTCCGGAATTTGTCTGTCCACCGGGACTGGGTCGACATCATGGCATACAGCGATCAATCGCTTGACTCCTCAAGTCGTCAAAGAGATCTTGACATTGGCCGACCCGGGTGGAGTGTTCACCGATGAAGAGGCCCGGAGAGTCTGCGAGGCTTTCAACGAAAGCTTGCGCTTTTCCCCCGGTATGTTGGTTTGAAAAAAAAAAAAAAGAAAAATCCAAAACTCTCCTGAAAATTGTTAAACACATCCGATTACAAAGCATCCTTTACAGAAGACTCCAGACTGTCTTATTCCGTCAGGGACATGATCATCCCGAAGAATGCTCCGAAGATGGGTTTTCTTCAGCGTCGTGGATTTTGTCGCACTTTGACCCTTCGGTCGCAGTCAAATGACACCGATCTGGTGCTCGATGGCTGCACAGGAATTCCCTTCAACAACGGTTCATTAGCTATCCTAGAGAGTGACCCTGAAGACGCCCTCAGAAGCATCATTCTGCCGGAGTGAAAAGCTCCCCAGGGATTCTACCCGAAGAAAACCCGAACTCCTTTCGACTCCACTCGATTATTCCGATAATTCTACCGATACATAGATACTTTCGAGTAAAGTCATGAGAAAGCGAATTCCCTCAATTTTGTACCGTAGCGGTCGCTAGCTTTATACATTATATCAAGACGATCGATGGTTAATCAGCGATTATTGTAAACATTTGGAGAACGCTGGAGGCAACTTTGTACGCCGTCGAATATATGCCTATTCTTTTTCCTTCTAGATTTATATTTCTAATTTTCCGTGTTAAAGGATTTACCAGCCGTTCTTAACGTCTACTTGGGTAGCGCAAATCAGCTGATCGCCTCAACGAGTATGTTATAACAATAATTTATTGATCGACAATGTTACAAGATTTCCCTCGGCCGCGAAACGGGGCGCCGAGAATGCACGTTTACGATTGCCTACATAGCGTAATTATGCGAATTAAATTTCACCTAATATGTACAAAGTGACAAACACAACGGACTGCCGAGGCGTCTCGAAACTCTCTCTCGGGGCTCTGCGCGATTTTTTCTTTCTTTCAAATCTCCTCGTTTTTACTTTTTAAATCCTTGCATTCTTATCGGCCATTTAAACGCGTAATGTATAAGTATATACAGCGAAGTGATAAATTGGCCTATCATGGAGTGACATGTCCTAAAATCTCGAGACCTTTCCCCGGGAAAATTCCAGCTAAATACGTACAGAACTAAAAGTCAGATCAAAGGCAGTAACTACTTCCCAAAATGCGCGTCTCAACCTCTCTCATCGCCTTCCTAATTTAAACCTTATCATACATATATCTTACGAGTTCATGTACACTCCTTAAATGCGGATAATCTCGCGTCAGTTCGAATCCTCGACTCTTAATAAAATAAATAACTACGTAACCCGCTAAATGCTCGGAACCGTGCGATGTGAAAATTAATTGAACCGCAATTGCGTGAGAAAAATATATGTATATGAAAAAAAAAAAAAGAAAACAAGAAATCGATACGACAATTTCATTAATTACTCGAAAAGATTTCGCTAATAGGTGCCAATCGCTAACTACCCGTGTACTTAGCTACCCGTCTAACGACATTTCGTTGTAGAAAAATATTCCTAAACAATTGAGAAACTTGGATCGATTCTTTTCCCTCGACAATTGCGGTCGCGTGTTCTGTCTCCCTGTTCGGTTCTCCAGGAAAAAAGAAAAAGAAAAAGAAAAGATAACGCGAGTTTGTCCGACTAAAACGAGCTTGAGGACCGAACGAGCAGTCTTCGCCGAAGTCTTGTCTAAGGGAGAGGCCACTCATTTTTTACGGGACCAATTTATTACGGCTTAATAAAATTAATTAATTGATCCTACAGCTAGGTTTTAACATTAAGGACGTACAGGAATACTTCACGATTGGATGTATTTTTAAGTTTTGATTTGTTATAAAAAATAGCCGACCTCTCCCTCTCGACGTCTTCCTCCTCCGCACATTCCCGACACGTTTCCCGTGGTTTCTTTTTTCTACCGCCGAAACGCGTCGGAAGTGGGATTATAAATAATTGCAGGGTAAAATCGAGGCAATTAAGTTAAGGGTGCACTCGGCCCGGCAGACGGATTTCTTCTCCGAAAGTAATGGTAGAGACTACTGAGATCTTTTCCGGTGATTCCCTTCTTAGAATGGACCGCGGGCTTCCCCCATTTCTGTGGGAGTCCCCTCTTCGAGAAAATGTACTTACACCGTGAGAGAACTTACATATCGACCGCGTATCGGGGGCCTAATTGCTCCACTTGCGCACCGACCGTGATCTCTCGTCCCGTTGTCATTTTTCGCTTTACCCTAACACGTCTTCCGCTCGCTACAGATGGGTCTGAAAGGGTGGAAATGAAATAAATAGGATGATACCTTATCAAAGAAGTCGGAAATTAAATCGCCCCGAAAAAAGAAAAAATAAGTGGACCGACAAGTCGCTAGAATTATCAACAACACCACCGAGATAACAGTCCTGATTCCGGATTGCCAAAGTAAAGATAACAAGTGGCACATCTTCCGTCAACCAAACTCCCCACGACCTTGGAATCTTAATAAAATAAAATAAAATAATAAACATAAGATTAAGATTCACGCGACCGACCGAGCCTTTTCTCGATTCCCTCGTTTCGTCGGCCCGTTCTGAAATTCATTCCCCCGGAATATTTACACCGAGATAGTTATTAAACAAATTCGCAGCGTGCCCCTCGGAAGTGGTAGAAAGAAAAGAGAGAGAGACAGAGAGAAAGATAAAGAATAGTTAGGAATTAGCGGAAGCTCGGTTAGTGAAAGATAAGTGCCTCGGGAAGCTACTTTAGTGACGCCGAGACTTTGCGATTACAATAATTAATGATACTTTATTTAAATAATAGCAATGTATGTGTGTGTGTGTGTATATATATATAGATTTCGGGGAGGTGGCGAAACTCGTCCTCGCGAGGTCATCTCGAGGAATCGCACGGAAACAATCCTGAGTCCTCGTTAATTAATTAATTAATACTGCGCAGCCAGACTCGAAGCCGCATTGGACTTACGTCGTTAAACGCGGATTGAACGCAACAATGTCGCAATGCTCTTAAAGTCTAATTAAAGCACATTTTCTTGACCCTCGCTTCGCTCGCCCCGGCGCGCACCTCGAAGAAGAACCCGAGAAAGGAAGAGACGAATGGGAAAGAAATAGAAATATTAAAAAAGAATAAAAAAAAAAGAAAAGAGAAGAAAGAAAAAAAATAAACATCCACGACGTGCGCTATTAAAAGCGGTGCAAAACTTGGCAAGTTCGGTGGAGGGAAATTAAAGTGAACCCCGGCATGTCTTTATATACAAATAGTTATTCTTTTAACGAAATTCAAATTCCGTCCATGCTCCCAAAAAAATCGTGCAACGCGAAGAAGATCGAGATGCCGAATGGCGAGCGAGTGTTATTTAATCGAGCGCGAAAATCGGTGAAAAAAAAATAATTAATGCAATTAAGAAATGCGGAAGGAATGTCACGCAGCTGACGTCAATTCCTTCTTCGAGTAAAAAATCTATAGATTAAACGAGTGGCCATGCAAACGATATTCCGGGCCATCTAGGGATTTTCGAGACGAAGTCGATCACTTGATAAGTTCCTAGAGTAATAAAAAAAGGGGGGAAAAAAAATTATCAACGAAAATGAATCCCCGAAGAATTGACAGAAAAATGCGATCGTCGAGCCCTGATTAGTGCTATCAATTCCTCGCTCGAGTAGAAAATCTGTCGTTTACGATAACCAGCGATATATATATGTAGCGCCTCGGGGATCTCGCGATGCCGGATCAATCGATCACTATTGGCATCGATAGATCGGCGAACGACGTGCCGACAAAGGGTCCCCAGAAGCGGCCTCTCGGCCTAGTTTAATTATTATTCTTTTAAATGAATATCTCCTTTCGGCGCGGAATTGCTCGTCGTATTTAACGATCCTAATTCGGACGAAGTCTCCTTGCATCTGCCATTAAATCGCGGACGACAAATCGTCAATTGTCATTCGAGGCGATAAAAAATTCAACGACACTTGTCCAGTACCACTTAATAATTCCGACGTCGGATGTATAAATTCGAAAATCCCGATTTAATTCGTACAGACCAATCTATCGTCAGTTTTCTGTAAATCATAACGAGTTCCGATTACCGGGATGCGGCGTAAAATTATTGAAATATAAAATCGCACAGTCCTCCGGCGCAATTAAATGGCAAACGCCCAGGACTCGCCGTACCTAAATCTCGAGTAACACGAATGAACAACATTTTGGCATGTCAAAACGTCCACGCTAGTCCCTCGTTCCCTCGTTACCTCTATCTCCCGACTTATCATCGGCACAACTACGACGACGCCTAATCAGCGCGTCCAATTATCGAGCTATCTCCTAAGATTCGCCTAGGACGCGCCATATCAACTTCGTATAATTTAACTTCGTAATTCCTCCCGATCCGAGCCTATATGGTACACAGCTCCTCGTTACGATACACACGGAGAAGTATTGCGTAATATGTATACAGTTTACAGAGGACAGAGACAGACAGAAGGTAAGACACATAGGTACAACGCGAACGGTGCTCGGCCTCGACGAGGAAGGTTCCTTTCGTCGGACCTTTATCTCTTCTTTTTCTTTTTTTTTTCTCCATTTTCCTCCTCACCGTCCTTTTCAACCACTATTTACACGCCTCCTCGTGCTCCTAGTTTATAGTTACAGCATTAAGCAACGACACCGAAACGCACGTTCTCGCTAAACTCGCTAAACTAGCCGCACCTCTAAATATCGCTCCTCGTAATAATAAACATCGACCTAGAGAAATTCCCTGCCGATCGACTGTCACCTCGACAGCTCCACCTGACCCTCGAAATCCACAAAATCCAAGAGATCATCCCCTAGGAACAATTTATATATATATATTTTTTTCTTTTATTTTCTCTACATTTCTTTCGTAATCAAAATCGACCCTCAAATAAGTCCCAAAAGGTAGGGTCCTGAATTCCCGCGAATTCGATCAATGACACGATTTGAATTTTGCATTGAACAATTTTTTAAGGATTTTTCAGGCCTCGAATGATAAGGTGATTAGGCCAAATTCTAAAAAAGATTTGTCCGTTCCCAGGGAAACGATCGCTCGGTGAAGGATTTCCGATTTAACCTGTGTTTCTCTCTTCCTCGCTCTTACTTCGCAGTCTCTCTCTCCCTCTCTCTCTCACGCACACAATCGGTATATACATGGAAGATTATTACGATATAAGGATATATGTATATATAACACGATAACTCGATGTATTCGCGGATATGCAGCGGCGATCGCCGATCGAGCGCTAAGTACGATCGTTAAGTATCGATAAGGAACAACGCGAGGACTGATAAGGGTCGAACGCCCCATTCCCCATTTTGATACGGAGTCCTGCACCACTGATCATAGATCACTGACACGCACGGATCGGTGCTGGGGAATAGAATAAAAAAAAAAAGAAGAAGAGAGGAGTTAAAACAAAATCAAGGCCATCTTCCCAGCGATTAGGTGAGACGAGTCCTCTCCGTGTAAGGTCATGCTAAAGACCGGCGAGGTCGCTCTTCATGGTGTCGACCATTTCGGACCTCGAGGTTCTACCTTTTCGTTCCTCTGCCCCCTCGTTCACTCGCGCCGCAGCGATTCCTGGTTCAACGAGAACATACACAGGAATAGATGGGCCTGCTGAGGGGGCGAGACAGGGATGAACCGATACAAGTATCTACTAGCATCCACTCGATACATTTACCTCCATACCGAGTACTTTTCCACCCCGTCCCTCGCTTGGTATCGATGCAAAGTATGGAGTGAGTAATAATAAGGATTTCCTTATTAGGATGTACTTTGATTGGCAAAGAAATTCTTACCGTAAGTATTTTACGTGTCTATGCATATGTCTTAACATTGTACACCGAGAAGAAAAGAAAAAAGAAACAGTACTCTAACTTGCATGATTAATTGTGAAATTATTCCTGCTTCTTTTCCGTAGTCGCGCGTTGTATACTTTAATGATTGGCGTTGAATTGATTTTTCAGATGCTTAATTGTGTACTTGTTCAATTGACGCAGGTGATGACTAAAGATATCGGTTCACCCCCAGGGCGACAGTCGCCTCTTCGGCTTGAGGGGCCCGACAGGAGAAAGAGAGAGAAAGAGAGAGAGACCCGTTCCAGTCTCGTCCCTTCCGGTTTTCTTACTTCCTCCGATTTCTCTGTTTCTCCATTCCTCGGATTCGCCATTATACGGGACTTACCATTTCGGTAGTCAGGCTGGCCAGGGCCTCTTCGACGGTGGCTGCAATCCGACTGCCCTCGTCCTCGCGTTGGCCGCTCCTGATGGGCGTCGTCGGGCAACCTAGAAATAACCACCGGTAATCGATGACAATTGATTCCGTACGCGAGATCGCTCCTCCACAACGATAACAAAAGCCGACGAGAAAATGGTCTATCTACATAATATTAGATAATTACAGGGTGAGAGTTTACCGCGAGTCTCGTGATAAGCGTGATTAGAGTGCCAGAGGTGTGCCATACGAGCTACCTTCGAAGGCGAGAGAGGTTCTGAGATGCCGAAGAGAGCTCCGAGGAGCTTGCAGAGGGTCCAATCGAGGTGTTAAAGAATACCTCCGTGTCTTCGCATTAATGATTTATTGTCGCGCGAGCGCACATATATAAGTGTATATCGTAAGTATATAAATCACGGTTGACATAGCTTCCATCGTCGAGCTAGACAGGACTAGGAGGAAAATCTCTCTTTCTCTCATTTCTATTTTCTTTTTCCTTCTACGAGAATTTAAAATAAAAAAAGAAAAAAAAACAACAAGGAGCCAAGACTGATAACGAAGGAGGCTCTGCCGCCAAGAGAGGGTCAACGGGATTAGTAATTAGAAATTCTACATTTTATCCGACCGTCTGCCCTTCTGAGCTTTTTTGCGTGGTCCACCAGACTGGGGGAGACGGTCGAGTCCTGGTTAGATGATTCGTTACCCTGGTATTAACGGCAGGCCTCCTTCGTACCCGAGGAACGGACCGTCCTCCACGTTTCGACACTCATGGGACCCCGTTCAACATTACGATCTACAACATAGACAATGGCGTTAGGTCCAGGCACTGGTTCCACCATGTCTCGAGGCCCCCGGACGGTTTTCTAAAATCGAGGAGGGCCTCGTCCTAGAGACTACATCTAGGAAACGGACGACGAGGTGGCGATGAAAGGCAGCTAGCGGAAATTCAGTCGATTGGCACGCGACTTCTGGGTCCCTCTAAGTGTGCTACCTCGAGACTACGTTTATCTGTCTAATTCTGGATATCTCAATTTTTATGTAGAAAAGTATTACAAAGTGGGCACCACCGTTCCAGGGGAGGTTCTCGGGAGTCGGTCTAGAGACTCCTTTACGTTTTGTAGTAAATGTGGAGCGCCTGCAGGAACTTACCGATGTCCCCGCTGCTGGAGCTCTCCGTGAAGGAGGGGGTTCCCTCGGTCCAGGTCGGCGTCGAGCCTTCTACGCTTCCCGTGGGGGGTGTCCAGGTGAGGCCACCTCCACCCCTGCTGCTCCCTCCACTCTCTACGCTCAACGAAGACTTCGTTTCTCTACCTCCGCTTCCGCTTCCGCTCCCGCTGCTCTCCAAATGCACGTCCGATATGCTGGGAAAGTATTGAAATAATTATATTACGCATTCTTATCACCGCCCATGCTGATATATTTTTTTCAGATTAGATAGATTTTTTCAGATTAATTGACCTAATTAATTCGGCGCTCATTTACATGCCAATTTTTTTCTTTCTACGTCAACCTAACATTTATTTAGGGAAAAGAAAAAAAAATACATGCCGCCTTTTTGCAGCGCCTCAAAAATTCAATGGGGTAGGAGAAATTCTTAATATGAAGGAAAATTAAAAATTGAATTAAAAGGCATCGAAATTATTTGCGCACCTAATACATTGAAAACTATAGGTGCCGAGTAGTTGATATCAAGGATGTTATTATCCTGTCGTTTGTATAATAATTAAAGTACATGTCTTTACAACGTACTGGTGCTTCTAGGAATTTATTCTAATTTTAAGGAACCGTTTTTACTCACCTCACGGTATCGTGGTAGGTCTTGGTCAGGGTGACGTGATGGACGATCCTGTTCTGCTTGGTGTGGATGGAACCGCTGGTCAGGATCGTGGTGGTTCCTTGTTGAAGATGAACACCGGAAGCCAGGGTCTGGTCGTTCGAGCGGACTGCATCGTCAAAGGGCGGGGGCGGGGTGGAGCAGGCGGAGGGAAGGGTGCCACCTACAAAAAGCGCACTACAATTAGCTCTAATTACTCTCGGTAAAAAAAAAAACAAAGTCGCGACGCTCTACGAGGGACATAAGCGGGACTCGAAGTTCTGGCGGAGGTCGCCGGCCGGAAGTAGCGAATAGAATTCCTTAAAAGCCGGGGAAACAAACGAAAAAAGAAAAAGAAAGACGGCACCGCACTTGAAATGCAATCTAATTTCCACCCCCGGGATTCGAGGCCCAGGGTAGGTCAGGGACGGTGCACAGACCTGGTGCATCTTGCCACCGGTTTTCTTTTCTTAAATCTCTTGTCAGGTCCAAAGGCGTTAATTTACAGTCGAAAGGCATATAATTAAATAATGATCTACGTTACGAGTGCAGGAATTGTTCTACCAGACAGTTGGCTAACGACCTCGACGGAAATTTCTCCGTGATAGGCACTTTATTGAAACAGACCTTGAAAACGTCCTAGACAATATATCGTCACTTTCATATCGTCGCTAGTGGGGACAAGTAAATTGCACGCATGCATGATAGGGATTCTTCTTTTTTTTTTTCCCGAGATTCTCATTAATCTTGGGATTGCTCGTCAGATCATGCAGGAGGAACTCGGGAAACGAGAACAGCGAGAAGCAGATTTTTGGCGAATTTCTTCACCAGCTTTTCGGTTTTAGGAATGTCAAGCAGAGAGAGAGAGAGAGAGAGTGGCATGATACCGCATGATGAGATGCAACATGTATCACTATTACATACGAGTGTTCGAATCCGGGGCGTGTCAAAAAAGGCACTCTTCGAACTAATTAAAGATTACACGATTTCTGTAATTTAATCCCAAAATTAGAATCCAGAGCTAGGTATTACGGAATCATTGTCAATCAAGTTCAAGAATACTTGATTTGACACCCTCCGAGTGTTCGTAGCCATGCAACAAGGAACAATCAAGGCAGTGTTCGCTTCCGCATCCTCGCAACTACACCGACAATTTCGGGACATTATTTCTTGGTATCGCAATTCGGGGGGGAGGGGAGATATTCTCAGCCGTTAATTTCCCTTTCTCAAATCTCTTCTCGGCATATCCTTTCAACTTTCCTCCGCAGTATCCATATTTCATAGATTGAATAGTCCCACTGGATAATCCTGGGGGTAATAGAATCATCTCCGGTCCCTCGGCGAAAAGGACCGTCGACGACGAAGAATTCTCATTACTCCTTAGTAAATCATTTCCAAGAGCCATCAAATTCCCGCCCGAAGGTCCTGAAAATTGATCGGAGTCTCGAGGACGTCATTTTGCGGCTCGTCGTTCTCTTCATGGTCGAAGTCCTCGACCCTCTCGAATTGGTCCATCCTGACCAGCGTCAACCGGTCCAAGGACCTCGTGTCAAGATGCGTCCTAAGGTCGACCATTCCGGATGAGAAGTCAAGGACTCTGACATCCGAGGCGCTCCTCATCATCGCGGGCACAGGGACGACTCTTTTATTCTTGAAGGCCATTCTCCTGGTCCTGCGACAGTGTCTCCTGATCTCCCTCTCGGATGCGTAAATCGAGGTGACGAGACCTCCCTCTTCCCTGAGGAACTCGGACCTCTTGGTGCAGACGTTCCCCCCCTCCTGTTGGGTGACCTTCCTGAGGAAGATGGTGTCCTCGCACACGGCGGTCTCGACGATGGGAACGGAGTCCTGCCCATTGAAATCCGTGAGATCAGCCATAGTAACCGCCTGCCTACAACTGACGAGTAAAGAGATAGTAGAGGAATACCCAGCAGCATTATCCCTCACCCTTCGCATCCTCTCGTTATAGGTCTCCGAGTGTTTCTTGTCCTTCCTCGACATCTTCCCTCCAGCCCTCTCCAAGAAGAGGTTCGGCTTCAAGAAATAGGTGAACTTCATGGTCTCCTCGCTGTTCCCAGCAGCCGGCGGGGACCTCTCAGGGCTGATGCCGCGAGGACTCATCAGCGACCTCCTGGTAGCATCCGGCTCCTCTTGGAGCAAAATTCCCCCCTGCACCTCCCCCTGAGGATTTTTCGGCGACCACCCTGGCTCAGTCTTGAAAGTTCCTGAATTTCCTCCAAGATCCAAGTGCCCCCTCTCTTCGGGGTGTACAACGGGGGTCCTGGGTCGCTCTACCTTCCTCCCAGGATTTCTTCTACGCTCCGGCCTGAACGGACAGGGGCTCGTCCTGATGACGTAGGAGTTGTCCACCCGTTCCACGCTGACGAACTCCTCCTCCTCGTCCTCGAACTCGTCGGCGTAGTAAAAGGGGCCCGGGGGCGGGCACAGGTTCGCATAGAGGGGTCCGAGGCGGGTATCATGCAGTCGGGGGTCGGGGTCAAGGCCGGGGTCAAAACCGCGGTTAAAACCGCGGTCAAGGCCTCGGTCAAGACCAGGGTCAAGGTCGGCATGCGGCAGGGTGGCATGCAGTGAGTATGCGTCACCTCGGCCGGAAGCGGCGACTCGGTGCTCCTCGGGCTTCCCCCGGGCTGATATGGACCCCCTTGGGGGCACAGGGGGTGGGACCTTCCCCGAAGGGACCAGGTTCGGGTTCGGGGGGCTCGCGGCGCTGCGACCCTTCAGGACGGCCGGATAGACCCGGGGGAGGTTCGACCCCGGCTCGGCCACGGGGGCGGTCGCCCCCGCCACCCCGGGCGGACTCGTCGGCCCCCCCGTGGGCTGGTTCACGGGGGTCGAGGTGGCGATCGGGACCGAGGGGGGCGAGGGGCCCCCCGGACCCGGGGCCGCTGGCAGGCCCGATGGTGAGGGCGGACTCGCTGTTAGTGGTCGATGGTCAAGCGACAGAGAAAGAGAGACACAGCCTTCGGTCAGGGGTCATTCGGGGTCCGGAATACCCCCGGGGGGCGTCTCACTGCTACCGGCCTCCCTCCCCATTTTTAACAATTTCTTTACGTCACAATTCATAACCTTTTCCAACACTTTTATGGTGATACAAAGTGACCCTTCCGCTCGTAAAACTTCCGCGTTGGGGTAGGTCGAGCAGTGGCGCCCCTCGGGGGGCGACTGTGATAAACGGCGCAAACTTTGGCCATTGTTCCTTGACCGATATATAACGTTAAAAGTATCCGTAAAATCCATACATTCATGGTATTAAAGTTCACAATGAAATGATGTATTTGATCTCGAGTCAGTGAGCGGCACTGCATTAATCAGATTTATAAAATTGTAGAGGAAAGTTAATACCCTTATGCGCTACATTTTTTATGCGGGTTCGTATATACGAATAAGATGTAAAATTGCGATTATTTTAATCCATCGAAAATGTGCGAATGTTTCACTTGGACGTGTCCATTATTTTTGATTTTATGTGCCAAAGTCGCGCCGCTTATCACCTCGTACTTATTATACGGATATCACTCGACGTCTTCAATTTCCGCGACCGCGGCTTCGATCAGGGACCGGATATACAAATCGAATGAAAACTAGGAAATCGAGGGGGGAAAAAAAATGACAGAATGAACGGAGTGGATTTAGGCGTAAATACGGAGCCAATTACCGCGCGCGATTTAATCGCGATATTCTTCATAGGGCGCGATCCATGGGCGTTCCTCGTACATATATATGTACCGAGACTTTATTACTTCCTAAATCCATCCATTATGGGGCGACGTGGCCACACCACGTAATAACGGCATCGCAACGGGGGAACGGTTACAGGTCGGCGACTCGACATCGTACCCGGGAGAAAATGATGATAGCAGGAGACTCACCGGGTTTTGTGGGTGATGCAGCATGCATTGCCGAACTTCCGGTTGCCGTCACCGCTAGACCACCGTACAACACCATACACCATTACCGATTTACCGGAAGAAGGAATCCCGGCGTGAGATAGAGGAACCAATCGCCAAGGATCCGCCGAAAATCGATATAAATTGATAAAAATTGATAAAAATTGATATAATCCCTAAATAAATCTCAGGTCGAGCCAATTTTCCTCTATCTCGTGCTCGGAATGATGATGACTATCGAAGTGCAATGTTAAATCGTATATATCCAGGACGAGCCATGGTAAGAATAATTGCGTAAAACCGAGAAGCGTATGTATGGATGTACCGAGGAGGGTGGAGGAGGTGTTTTCAGGGTCGGGTTCACACGACAGGCTGCTCCAGGGTCCCGGAAGTGGGGAGTTTGGTGAACGTGTTCGAGGTGGGGATCTTCCCGATGGTGCAGGGATCTCTGCTGGGCGGATTATCCCTGGGGATTGCTGGGATGGGGAATTAAAACCCGGGAAATAAGCGCCAAGCGTGTTCTCTAAAGCCCGGCTCGCGTATCTGGTCCCTTTAATTTTTAAAGGGACTCCCAAAAAAAGAACTCGGAACGAACCTTTTCAACCTCTCCATGAAATATATCTTCTAAACATCCTTAACAAAAATAATGTACACATCAAAATACTCCCTAGAAACTCATACTTAACCCTTCGATCACGAAAGGCGACTACGCCCGTTTGGTCCATTATCGCCTGGCCGTGCTGGGGAATTTCGCCCGTACGTCGGAGCGCTCCGCAGTCAAAAGGATAAATTATAAGGTAATTTCGTATCTCGCTTGAAAAAATTCGTTCCGGTGGAGATAGGTATTTTTTTTTCCTTTTTTTTCTTTTAGTGGACCGTTTAAAAGTGTAGCAAGATGAACAACTTACCCGTGGAGTCGAAGTCACCTTCTAGCGGTCTCAGAGGCCTTGTTATGCTTTTTCTCTTCGATGGGGAATGTTTCAGGGCTGCAACACAAACGAGGAGGCACCGTAATTTCGAGCTCGACTTCATTCGCAGTTATCGGGGAACTGATTGTAAGTCAAAATCGAAGTCGGGGGAGATATCGAGGGGGAAGTGGGTCGGCAGTACGCTCGACGTGTCTTTAACCCTTCCTGGGTTGCTCTAGATTTGTACTTTTCTATCTATTGGGGGTGTGTGTCGTAATTCGATTACGGGGTTGCACATACCTCACGGCTCGGACATTTAATGGAGCACATATATGTATTAATAATGGCCAGGCTGACAACATAGAAAGCTTTTAAGTCCTATCTCTCGAAGCTATTTGAGTGCTAATAATTCAAGACCTCGTTTTTCCATATTTATCGTCGAGTTTTTCTCACTTTCACGTTCCATGTAAGCCGCGAAATAGATTCTAAGGTGCTCTGTACAGCATCCACATAAGGAAAAAAAAAAAATAACGAGAGAAATCTACTCTCTATGTAACGCACCTGAAAATTCCGTCTTCGCTCTACGCGTTAATTATTAATTATCAATTCCAGACGGCTACAATCTCTCGAAAATGTGTACCTGGCGTGCTTCTATCTGTGTCTATAGTACGTTTCTCTAATCTCTATACTCTTGGGATAGTATATATTAAACAAATAAAGATAATAAAAAAATATAAATTAACGAGTTACGGAAGAACAGGGTAAACGGAGGAAATTAGAGAACAGCTGATTTCCATAAACGCCCCGAATTAATACGGAGGATGTTTATCGAAATACGGTAAATCCTCTTATAAAAAAAACAAATAGATAAACAAATTTGGAAACAACAGGATGTCGTTCAAATGCTTGGAACGGTTCTTACAAAATCACGATGCAAAATAGTCATGCCTCAAAGGGGTATTTCTCTACGGGGTTTCAGGGGCGGTTCTGTGGGCTATAATACTCGCAGGTTTTTTTTTTTTTTTACACAGGCACAAAGATTGGTAAAGGATTATTCTTCCTTCTACCGACTAATCAGTGCGCATAAGGGACAAAAGAAAAATATGTCCCGACTTACGGTCTAGGACAATTCATTTACGGGGGTGACATCAAAGTGCAGCACACAATTACACACATACACACAAGACAACACGTTTATACCGTGGTAAAGTGAACGAAACGAAAAACCACACCCAACTCTGAAAAAAGTTCGCTCTCGGATAGATACAGGAAAAGAAAAATTTCGTAGAGTTATAAAAGGTTGCTCCTTTTTTCGCGGTGACAGTGAGGAGGTAAAATGAAATTTGGGGCGAGAAAGAATGTTAAAAAAATAAATAAAAAAAGAAGAAAGACATGATTTTCAAACGGGAGGGGTTTTTCGTGTTAGAGGAGAGGACGACACACAGGCAGTGAGAATGAAAGATCACGTGAGAAATAGCTAACGAGAGACGGAAATAGACAGCAAACAGACAGAGTTACCTATGTAGCTGGTGACGAGGTTACGGAATTTGCGATGGTTCCCCTTAATCTCAGGCAGGTCCACTTTTCGTTTTCGGTTTTCGAGTTTTCGTTCGGTAGCAGGTTCGGGGGTTGACACGGAAAGGGTGCACGGACACAGAAACAGTCACATTTAGCTACCTCAATATACTCAACATCGTTACACCGATTCCAATCGCTCGGTCAACAAGTTCCAATTACACGTCTCAATGGAGCAAATCAAGGAACGACTTGGAAATCGATAACGCAATCAAAAGCGAAGGGTGCAAAGGAAATGACCCTTGGCTCGAATATCGGAGATCAAACCGAGAGATTGATTAAATCGTGACAAAATTTGCCGATCAAAAGAAATCCGACTTGGTAATGAACTTCCGGAAAATCTAACGTTTCACCGAACGGGGAAAATAAAACATGGAATAGATAGCGAGAATCGGGTTAAGCGAAATAAAGGAGGAAAAAAGAATTAAAAAAAAAAGAAAAAATTTCCAAAGGACGTAACGAACTGCGGTACAAGTTTATTATATTGCATTCTCTGACCCTGATCTCGGTCTCAGCTCTCACGTCAAAGGTAAATGTCGATTAGTCTACTTATATCGAGTACCAAGTGTGTTAAGGGGTCTGTCAGTATACGAGTACTTCTCCTGACTCCTCGCTATTATTAACGAGATATAACAACAAATTCGTTTCAACCCTTTCCCCGTGTGACACAAGAAATGCTGGCTTTATAAATTCTCGAAGGATCAGGAACGGTGGGATTAATAAAACCAAGCTGAGAGTAATAAGCGTTAATTAAAGGCTACGAGTTCGCACTTTAGCTGGTAACTATTAACTGACAAATCGAGTATATACGAAGTTGAGGCCAAACAAGAAGTGACGTCAGAACGTGGGAGTGTCAAAAGCGAGTGTATATTCGGACGTGGGCTCGTAAATGAATCGAGGCTGTAAACAGCGAAAATGTTTATTGTAATATATATATATATAAATGTATGTACATCGGTGTCCACATCGGATACTAGCTGAATATTTTGTAATAGGGAGGGAAAAAAAATAAAAAATAAAAAAGAAGTACTCTACTTCTACCCGTGGGCCCACCTCTAACGTCCCCGATTCGCTAATCACTACGTAATCCTGCACACGCAGTCCTAATTAAATTGAAGATCATCCCAAGATAATTCCGCCATCCTGAGTTCTCAAAAGGTCCTTAAAAACTATTGCTCATCTTTTTTTTTTACTCGGGTAAAAACTACTTAAATCTATCTCTCTCGGCGTACGTATATTATCTATCTCATATATGTATATATCAAACTGCTCCGAAGCACTCGCGTGATAAAAATCCACGTTTTATCTACGTTGGCTCTCGTACCTCCATGATCGGAATCTACGCTACATCACATTACGCGATCCGCATTGTCGGCAAATTAATCATATATCGTGGAAGAAGATACTCGGAATAGGAAACACCCAGCTGTGTATAAATGTGGACACCGAGGAGATCGACATTCCGAGTAAAGTGCGAACCGCGTGGACGAGTCGCGATCAGCTGATCGGTCGGACCCGATCAGCTGATCTCGACATCCCGATGCAGGGACAAATGATCGGCCGGCTTAACAAAAGAAAATGTGGGAGATGGATGAAAAATTAATATGCCAACGGAAACACAATTGATCCATTAATGAGAATGTTCGTGTACAGTGTTAATTAATTTAGTAAGGATCCAGATAATGTTCCGGCGACGATAAATACGCACACACATATATATATGATTTTACATAAAACGATTTAACTGACGACAAGCTTGATGAGATAACTGGACCATCGATCTTTGTACTTGCAATACGCGCTAAAAAAAAAAATAAAATCGGACGTTTCTCTGTTTTGGAACGTATTTTGGCACTCTCAACCAGGCTACGGCAAACCGGCGGAGACCGATTATTCGCGTTACGTACGACTGAAGTAGATAAAAGAGAATAAAAAATATATATATATATGTATATAGAAAAATGCGATATCAGGAAAAGGAGCTATCCTCTGATCGAAGAGTCGTCAAGAAAGTAGGAACCCGTTAACCCGTTCTGCTCTGCTGTCCCAGCGTTAAAGTTACTAGGTTCAATTAATCACGAGCATCACATTGTAGAGTTTAAATCTATTAAATGTGCGTTATAAACGTAGGAACATGTCGAGACACTATATGCGAAAGACGTTAATAATGTTAATCGTTTAAATAACCGTTAACACTTATTTCGCGTTAATTAAGTCTCAGTTGAGGGGACGAGTCCAGGACAGAAGGGGTTAAAATGTGTACATATATGTGGCTGTAAATATGTATATACATATATACCTGTATAAAGTGAGCCGACAGTCGAGTCCTCGCTCGATTGTCCGCTTAAATGCCCCAAGGACAATTGTCGTACGACGCGTTGCTCATTAGAAAAATAACAATGACTTATATTGGCATACCGATTGGCGTATGAAGGACGCGCCGCTACTTTCCCGTAGGTGAATCGTATGTACAGACCGTAGCGCGAAGAGACACTCTAGTAAAAAAATTGACTCTAGCTTACGGCTTACTGCTCAACAGTGTCATTAAACGTAACGCCTTAACTAGCGAGGAAGGTCGGACAATCGAGACAACGGACGGTCTGGTCTCTCCGGACAATTGTCACCCACCCTGGGTGACGAGTTCCCGACAAATCGGTGGTACAGGACCCCGGTAATTGCCGAGCTACTTTCGAAACGGTTACCACCGTTAAAGGGGGTCGAATCGTCGAGGGCGATTTTCTTCCGCCCGCAAGAGTGAGCGGAAAAAAATCGCCCTTGAGTCGCGGCGTGGATCTTCTCAAAAGAAAAAAAAAAAAAAATGTCCAATAGAAAAGAACGTACAAGACCGACGTTTAGTCTCGCATCCGTCTATAAATAGGTAATAGGAATCGGCAACCCCATATCCTGGGGTCGGCAGGAACCCCCTCCGAGTGCGGAGAGGTCGCACCGCGGATTATTACGAGTGCGCCTTGTTGAGAGCTAGCATGGATGTCAGATTGGCAAGAAGAGGTTGATTCGGGTGGTACTTACGTGACGGTATCTTCTTGAAGACGGTCTTCGCCATGAAGTCCTGGAATCGCTGGGCATAAAAGCCTGGTCTGTGCACCGATACGGTGTCCTGGAACACAGTTAACCAGATCCAGGAATGCTCACCGAATTACCGACACATTCTCCAGGTCGCGTATTCTTCAGATTCAAGAAGTGGGAATGCTTAAAGAAAACGTTCTAGGGCCCCTAGGGCGATGGTTGATTAGTACAAATTTCTAGGGGGATTGAATCAACCAAGACAACGGGAATCTCGAGTCTGACGGCAACGCGTTCGTCATATCAGTGTCATACTCACTCCATCGTGGATCATGGACTTCCACGTGTGCTCGAGCTTCTTCTTAAGCCTGTAGCTCTGGAGGATGTCGATGATCCCCAGGAAGAGGAGGAGGCGTTCGCCGCGCGCGTTTCTCGCAGGGATCCCGCCCGGACTGCTGGGAACACACGTGTCCAAGATGTTCGTGAATTAGAGCAGGTCCAGCATGCTTAATAAGACCGACCCTGGGTGGAGCAGGGACCGTTCCTAGATGGCTACTCACGGTACGTCGTCTTCCTCGTCGATCGGCTCGCTCTCGGCCTGAATGCTCTCCATGGCCGTGCTATGAGCGACCAGTCTTTGCCGATTTATGCTACGAGACCTGTTCAAAGCGGTGGCTCCTATTCGGTCCTCTCTTTCTCGATCCCTCTCGGCCTGGATGAATCCGCTCTCGTAGCCCAACTCTCCGGCCTCCTCGTCGGCGCTCGCGGAGAGCCTTTGTTCCTGCTTCAGATGGCGAATCCCGTTTATTCCCAGCATCCAGTTCCACTCATATGTTTATAATACCCTCAAAACATGTAATATCTGATGTTCAAGAGATGGGAATACATACTGTCTTCTCCCTCGACGCCTGGTCGAGGTTGTGGATGCCGACCAGAAGAGAGTAGTCCATGATCTTGAAACTCTCCAGCACCCTGCAGTCTCGTTGAATAGTCTTTACAAGAGCACCGTACGTGTCTGCCTCGAGGAAGATGCCCTCGGGATGATGTTCCATGAAGTCCAGGTCCTTGTACGTCGGCGAAGACTTGGACCTCTCGCTTCTTGACGCCTGGCGAGACGATCGAGATTAAAACATTGTCTCTCTTAACTTATATTCTTTCTCACACTCGTGACCCCTTACTTTTCTTTTATACGTTGATCCCTTTAAATCGTACTTTTGATGCAGCTTCACCGACGACGGCAACAAATTGTTCATGGCGACCAGCCTCACGTTTTTGCTGTTGCAGCGGTAGCAGTACAAGCCGAAGAACTTCGGCAGCAGCGTTCGCGGATTTTGATTAAGATTCTGCAAAGAGAAGATTAATCCAATTAATTCCACCATTCTGGACCACCGGAGTGATCGGATCAAAATAAGGTCACGGTCTAGAGATACGGTTTTGATGACTTATCAGTACCATGTAATATCCGGGCAGAAGAGTCTGCAAGAATTCGCCCTCTTTATGCTGGACAGTCTTAATGATGAACTCGTCGTCCTCGGTCAGGTAAAAAATACTGCCACTTGCCCCGGGATTCGACAGTTCTCGCAGAGGGGCGCTGCACATCGACATCTGAAACGGAGTTCAAGCGTCTAAAGTCTCGATTTCCATTAATTGGTACTCCCGTCACTGGAGGGCGACACGACTAAATCCTTCCATTCTATACAGAAACTTCCAGGGTGCCTACCAAAAAGTCATCAGGCTGGATGCCGAAGAGGTCCCGAAAGTAGCGAAATGCGATCGGAGCGTAATTCTTGAACTTAAACTCGGAGAAGTGATGGGCGGGGGTGTGATTGGACCCTTCGCTGGGGAAGTTCGTTGTCTCGACGGTCATGAAGTCCTGCATGAGTAGGTCCCTTTCGGGTTTGCTCGCGAGACCGCCGACCGCGTGTTGTATCCCCAGCTGAATGGATCCCATGATTTGTGTAGTTTGTATCTGAAAGTAGAGCCACTCCATGAATCGACCTGCAGAGGCCCTCGATCGATGGGGCAGGGTCGCCATGAGCCAGGAGTATTGAGACCACCTATTTACTAAAAAGCAGAAGGCTATTAAGAACGGCTCAACGCTTTACCCGGTGAAATTGTACCTTAGCTCGATGCCAAAAGGCACCGAGACAGGGTCCCGGGACAAGGACATGCAAATCAGTTGCCAGGACACCCTGCCTAGGGTCAGTGACGAGCAAATGAAGGACCAACATCAATTCCATGGTGGTCTTGGTACCGCTGATCTTGCGAATACCAAGACTACGCCAAGGCAGACTTTGCTCATCACCATACGGTGAAAAGCCACGGCAAGAAGATAACGAATCCTCGTACAGGTGGCTAACTGTACCCTCTACTTTTTCGGCGATTAAACGACCTACTGTGGTATACCTTTTTGTAGGTGATCTCGCCGCCGACACCGACCCTGCGATGACCGATCTTGCGCTCGCGCTCCGACTTGTTCCTGGACACCCCGACCGGGGTCTTCGGTCCTCCGCCGCCATGTTGAAGGGCCGAGCTCTGAAAAGCAGGACGGAGGGGCGTTAATTACAGGAGCCTCGGTGAATCCCGACCGCCAGGAGTGCCTAGAACCCTCTGAGGAAGTACCGGGAGCCGGCCGTTTTCCACGTTGGTGGCCGCAAGGCGATTCATCACGCGCCGGACGGGGAAATAAAATTCAACAAGCGTTTACCGTTCCTCGCCTGAATGGGATAATTACGTAGATGCAATTGGACGAGCCACTTCCACGGCTGTCAACTTCCGTCGAGCCGTGCTTAGGGCTACACGCCATAAAAACCACCCTGGGGTAGGTGGGCCCTACGTACCCCTGGCGCCTCTCTTCAGCGATTGCAGGAAAACCCCTCACAGACATTTCCTCATCTTTTCAGGAAGAAAGATCTTCAAACGACCCTTTAAGAATCCTTGTTATCTCCCTTGGTATCAAAAATTTCCGAGTGCCATTCATTGAAACGTGAAAATACATTCTCCGCTTGGTTCTTTAATTTCTCAGGTATCTCTCAGGTGGTCCAAACTCTTCCTAACGTAACTTTGATAGAGTTCGGGCATCCTAGAGCACTTTCGGCGTTCTCGACCGCTGATAACGGGCATCGTTTTATCAATAAAGAGCGCATTAATTACCCGAGTACGCAGCCGGCACTTACGCGTCACCGCGGACGCGTCCCAGTGTTTAATCGCGGCTCGTACAATCATTGTCTTATAATAGGAGTGATTTCATCCGCATTTGAATTCCCGCTGAGAGCAGGGTACATCAACAACTCTACAGAGAAATTCCCCGAGCACCTCGAGTGGAAGCGAGCGCGTTGCCTTTTATTAAAGAGGACGCGCGCAACGCCAGAGAGCGTTACGTGGAAAAGCGAAGCGCCGTGTCGTTTCTATTTTCTTATTATTTTTCAAGTGCACATTTGTCCTCACAATCGAGTTTCCAAACGGCAACAAATAGTCAGGCATTTTCCACAAAACTTTCCAGGAATCTACCGGACGATCCAGATAAATTTAACAATAATACCCAATGGCAGCATAAAAACACGAGAGAATAATCGCACGTAAGGGTCCTCGACATAATTCTTCCGTTAATCGGCGAAAAATGGCAGAATAAAAAAATGGAGATATTTCGAGGAACCGGAAAACAGGTGCGAGGAGTCAATTGACTTGCCTCTATGTAACGCGCGTTTATACCCAAGGGCTGCGACAAAACCGACTTTGAAAAATGTGAAAAATCCACGATGCGAAATATTATGAGAATCATCCAAATTATCCGAATCTGAATCAGTGTTCTTGGAAAGGTGTGGCTCGAATCCTCGAAACTCTTGTACAGTTTTCCTAAGGGCAACCTCGAGGATCCAGAAATCCGCCAGGCGATTCGGATTTCCGCGTTTACTCGGCTAAAGGGCTCTCGGGGAGTTTCTAGACACCGGGAACACGCACACACCTGGAATCAGTGAAAGAGAATGCACTGTCACCGGGACTCGGCATTAGAAAGTAGAACAAGAGGTCTTAGGAGAGCGACAATGGCCGGGGAACGCACCCCGGGCGTTCCCGAAGGAGCCCATCGGTCAATAACGGTATTACCCCTCTTTCCTCCTGTACTTCCTCGGAAAGTTCACGGTCGGTTCCGCCGAGTTCGAGTCTCCCGAGACCCTCGACGGGATCCGAGATCCCCGAGGATCGGGCACTCCGTTTTCTTCCCTCTCCTCTCTTTACTTACGTCGAAGGCCGTGACCTTTTCCCCCGTGGACTTATCTGCAAAATAGAGGAGACGAATTAATTTCGACACTTTGTCAAGGAGGCGGCAGCGTCTCTGACAAGATCACAAGCCTCGACTGAGCGCTGCGTCTCTTTACGCCACGCATAGCATGGATGGACATTTAATTTCTTATGAACAAGAATAACTTCTATGAGAAGACTATGGACATTTTTTGATCATTAATTCATGGCACTATTGATTTTTACTCAGTTTGTTAATATACATTCTATTGATATTTCTAAGCGAGTTCCAAGCTGAATCTGACGCTGCTACTTTGCAGTCCGAAAGGCTGCAGATTCAAGGGCGGTTAATCGTGACGAATTGCCTCGCTCGGGCGATTACGTCGAATCGATTCCCGGTTGAAAAAGAGAATCCGATATCGATGCGGATGGATCGACTGGTGAATGACTAGGAAATCACTGCCTGGTAGCATGTTATCGCAGAAGCAAGTGGAAGGCTTTTGACTCTGCTGATATCAGACATGGCAATGTGGTTGTAACGTTTGCTCCAAGATGTTTGTAACGGAGTGCAAGGCTATTTAATTAATCAGTGTGTGATCCTCGATGTTGATGTTGAATATTTGAAATTCTTCGGTGCCATCCGCAGCGATGCTTGCGTGGGAAGCTATTGTTCGGAGAAATTAATGTCAATGCTAATATAATTATTTGCAAGTCTATCTTCAGAATGGATTCTTTAAGAAGTGCCTGATCAATAATGCACAATAGATTCGTTTTCAGGAAAGGCAGGGATACTAGTCTGTAGCTCTACCCCCACGAGTTCTGCAAATCCCCTAAGGGTGAGTCACCCTCCGGACCTGTCAGGCTCAGGTGACCACGGCCTCGTTAGAGGTAAATACCTCACCCTTCCCCTAAGCCCTTTCTAGGTTCAATAAACACAAGTCCTGGCAACTTCTCTTTTCTTCATCACCGATAGTGAGTCATAACTTATTATTTGCGGTGTAAAACGCGAGATAAATAAAAGCAGCGATTAGCATAATACCTCCTCTCTGCCAATAGGCAGTCATAGTTCCAAGAATTAAACCTCTGACTAATTTAGCATTAAAAATAGAAGTTAGAGTATACTTCTTGTTAACGTTCACAAAGCTATTACCGTGAAACTGAATATTCTCCATTCTATACGCCCCGTAACGACGGGTGCAAATACAAACAATTTGAGCACATTCGCTGGGCAGTAAAACCGTCTACTGTTAATAGTACGTCAGTCAATGAACAACCTCGTAGATGGGCATAAAACATCGTAGTACATACATTCCCACGAGAGATATGAAAAAAATGGTGAAAAGACTCGCCACCCGAAGTGGCAAGTCGAGCTTTTCAGGGGTGCGAAGGGGTGTGTCGAGTCTGGGCCTGACAGGGACCGATCTCCAAGTGGGCCTTGAACCTGACTAAAGTCGCCGCCAGTCTGGAGGTAGAAACTTGGTGAAATTAGCTCCGTCTGCACGATCCCTCTCTTCCCGTTAAGTCTGCACTCTCCTTGTCAAAGCGAGAAGACCGAGAGGGACGGAGCGACGGCGCGTGCGTGAGAGCGAGGGAGATGGAGAGAGAGTTTTACTGACCATCGTCGTCGGGCGCGTCCTCGGCGTGCCTCGCCGGGCCCGCGAGGCTCGTTTCGACGACCTCGATGACGTCCACGTTGTCCCCCGAAGCCATTTCCAGGGGTCCCAGCTAGACGGTGACTCGTCGCCGCGTCGTCCCGGTCCGATCAAGGCGCGTCAGGCGCAGCGCGGCCGCCGCCTGGGACAATCGCGCATGGTAGACGCGCCCGCGGAATCCGCTCTCAGCGCGGCCCGCCCGGGCGCGGCCGCCGCAGGCCGCACATGCTCGAACACGAGGAACCCACTGGCGACCGCTCCCACGCCGATCCTCACCCCCGAGCACGGCCACGGCCCGAAAACTGACGGGCTTCCACGGGCCACGATGTCAACCCGATGTCAAGCACCGACAAGAGCTCTCTCTCGCCTATTGACCGGCCGCCATCTTGGCGCGATCCCACTGCCGCCTCGCGGCCGCGCCTGCAACTGCGCGCGCAGCCTCCGCGAGTCGGTAAAATAGAAGGTCGGCAATGGCGAGAGCTGGTATATACCCTATTAATAAGAATTTATCGATATTTCAAAAATTTTCATATGCAAAAGTAGGAAATTTCGAACTGATATTTTTAATACTGTAACTGCTGATACGGAATGTTTAGTAAAATAGTACAAATTGCAGTAACTATTACATTTGTAGAGTCGATCGCAGCGGGCATGCAGGACACCTTCATATCCTTCCGTCTAAATTCAGTGGAAATGACATAAACTTGGTTAAAAAATGGTGAACTTCGGGACCTTCCGGATTAACAAGTATATTTGAATTTTGTGATGCACGTAGTTCTTCTACTTCGGGGAATTGTTAATATGATTTTCTGTTTATTGCCAGATCGGTATGGTTGACCTTAAACGATCGTTCACGAAATTAAAGTTACGCATCCAGGGAGCTTTTCTCATGGGAATTATCGGTTTAATCTCCTTTAGAATTGTCGACAGCTACCGCGATTTCTACAACGAGGTAATTACACCCGCTGCGAGCGCAACTTTTGTTATGTCACGGTTGTGACAATTAAGGCGTGCCTTCCTCTAAAAATGACGAATTCTGTCAGCGCTTTAAGGTGTCGATTTATTGTAATTACACGCACCGATCATCGCGAATACCTATCCTGGGAGAAATTATGCCTATTAGATAATATAGAAAATTGAAATAGCGGATTGCAATTTCTTAAAATTGTATCTAATAATATTAATTTAATCTCAGCTAACAGTGTACACGCAATCCATCGAATATCGCAAGACCCAAGAAGCAGTCACGGAGTACAGAGTAAAACTCATGAATCAGGATAAAACGGTCCTGGAGGATGCAAAACACACGGAGAGCTCTCAGGATTAATTTCGAAAGGTCGAACCATCGCGAGAGAATGTTCATTCTCGATTTTATCTCGTAACCTAATTCCCAGGATAATGTGCTAATTGAGACAAAAATTGGTAAAATCAGCAGCGGGCGTCTTGACGAGGGAAAAGTTGTATGAAAATCGATTCTCAGGTAAGATTGGTTATTTGGATTAATAATAAAGATCTGGACAGTTGTTTAAGATTAGAGGAAATTAATTTGACTTTTTCGTTAGAGCCATCGGAGTCGAGTCTTCGGAGCGCCGAAGGACTTACGAAGGAAGTCGAGTTGTCGCATCTTCTCGTTTTTGTCGACCCTCCGCAACAGCAGGGCCTACCAGGACACTGTCATCATCAAGACCACTCTCGACGATGATTTTTTCCAGCTTTCTTCCTACTCGACTGGCCTTCCGGTTTAGAAAAAACACGAGAGCCAGTCACGGGGCGCGACGCGGAGACGCGGGAGACAGGAATGCCCCCTGCTCCTCCTGCAGGACCTGAAGACCCGAATGAAAAATTGGTAAGAATTTCCACACACCTCTGACATGTCAAAACACCTGATCGCAAATTCAAGGATGACTCCAGGACCCTCAAGAAAAATGAGGGAATTTTTAAGGGAATTATTTCAAGCTAAATCCTCAAATCTCTCCTAGAGACATGACCACGTGGTTTTAAATGCCACTTGTTGACATGTACTTGCAGAGGTGTTAAGAAGAAAAAAAAAAATGGTAAATGTTCACGCACACCTGGGGCATGTCAAAACACCTCGTCGCCATTTTAGGGGTGTGCCCGGGATTCTAGAAAAAAATTGATAAGGTTCGGCCGAGCGAATTTTCAAGGGAATCACTTCAAGCCAAGTACTGAGCCTTCTTACAGATAACCGACCACGAGGTGTATGATGCACCTTGTAGACATGCACTTGTAAATGTGTAATACGGCGGTAAATGGTATCTATAGACATGGTTCTTTAATTTTCAGCGAGGCCGAGGAGGTGCGAGCCGCGCACTCGAGTCGGGCCTTGAGTTTCACTTTCGACACATCCTGGAGAGCCCTGCAGCCTTCACCCAGATGCTCGTCTTCCCCGACACCTTTTATCAAGTCCATTGATCTTGAAACTCCCCGTACGCACCCGTCGATCTCGCGATTAATAAAGGAAGCACGGCTGCTTCCTCCATCGTACATCCTGCGCGAATCCTCGAGTTCTTCGCCCCGCAGAGGAACGGAAACCTTGCTCCGCGTCTTCCTCCTTATCGTTCGCCTTATCCCTTATTAGCCTCGAGATTAATTGCGCCGATTGCGAAATCCACGACTTTGCCCTCAGCTGAAATTTCATTCCGATACGCGGACCCCTCGAATTGAACCATTAAAAGTTAATTAAATCTAGAGATACCGGCCACAAAAATGTCAAGAAAATTCAGATTCGATGCCTCAGGACAATTTTAATCAAATTTAGAGTTCCGGGCTTCTCCAGAAATCTTTCAGCCCTGTCACTAGGATTTCGAAAAATCTCAGACCGAAGGCTGCAAGATTCTTCGAATTGAATAATTAAAAGTGAAATTTAGAGATTCCGGATTCTTCGGCTTCGTTACTAAAATTTGGATCAATTTCAGGTCCGAGGTCGCAGGACCCCGAAGGCGATGCTGAGAACGTCAACGTCCTTGGAGCCCGTTGAGACGTGGCGAAAAGCCTTCGCCTCGATGATCGCTCGGACATAACGGAGTCAAATGATCCGGGAGCGACGTCATGCCGTTCTTCGATGCGAAATCCCGGGCCGAAGAATGCACCCAAGATAGCATGCACCTCCCGAGTTAACAGTATCAGGCCTGGCCTGAAGCAGAGACGATGCGACCCGATCGTCGATCCTCTACCCACGGGCTCGCCTCTTCTTCCTGATACGGAAACCGTGAAATCGCGATACCAGGCATCCCCGTCCGTGGGATTATTAATAATAAGAAAATTAATGCACCTGCTAGCACGCGGAAATCACCGGCATACCGCGCGAGTACTGCCGGAGTGCAAGTCGATTACATAGACGTAATGCGATGTCGCATCTCGTGTATCCGTAAATGATAAGGATCCAGAAACAGTTAAATAATGTCGGGAGTGATAGAGTAACCGAGGGAAAAAAAATTAGTTCTCGCCGTTTAGAGGGCAAATTTGAGATCTGGAATTCAGGAAGGGACAGACGTTCCTCCTATCTTTGCGGAAAATGCGTTCGGAGCGAACGATGCAGTGATAAGGGGCTTGTTGCAGCGACAATGGCTCTTTCGGAGAAGTACGAGCTGCGCGAATGGGCCCATTATGCACTTGTTCGTCCGCCGTTTACGGAAAGGAAATATCCTTTTCGCGTTTGTAGGATTCAGTCCGGGAAAAGGAATCGAACCCTAGGGATCCGTAGAACCTCTCGAGAGCGATTTACGGATCGGCGAGCAAAGATCGAAGGATCGATCGGAGGATGATCGGGAAAATCGACCCATTCGGGGCTTTGTACCCCTGATGAGATCGAATCGATCTTTTCTTTAGTCTTATCAAGCGACGCAATTAATTTCTTGCAAGGATCTGATGCGTTAACTGAGGCGGGTCCAGGAAATCTGTTAATAAGATATCGATTAATGATCCAGCCGAGGGAAAACCCTTGACGCATATTTGCGAGAAAATCGGAAAATTGAAATAGTAAATGTTTAAAAGCGGTGTCTATGGATTTTAGGGTTCTAAGGCGTGTTTTTCGGATTTTATAAAAATCTATCTGCTGTTGTTCGGCTTCCGTTTCTCGGATTGTCCGTTTCTTGTGGGATCTGGGGTGCGAAGAAATTCGGCTTTTATTTCCCTGGAACTGAACTCGGGATTCTCTGTTACGGCACTTATCGACCGTTACCGGAGCCCTAAGATTGGGCATAACTTTAACCGCGCGCGATTTGCTGGAATTTTAGCTAGATTTCCCGGTACAAAACGCCGCGAGTCGGACGGGAGGTCGAACCCTGGCAAATTGATACCTTCGGGGCAATCTCCGGGTTGGCAGCTCAAAGTTACGGTACCCTTCGACCACTTCCGGATCCCGTGGAGATTCGGATTGGAATCCACGGAATTGCGATCGTTCGATTCCCGCCGACTCCGAGGAGGCGCCCCTGTTTAACGAGTCCGATTTAATTAGAAGGATTAAACAGAAATTATTTTCTCTTTATGACACCTATAAAGATATCTTGCACCCCTGTTTAACGAGTCCCTTTCAATTAGAGGAATAAAACAGAAATACTTTTTTTTTTATGACACCTAAAAATATACTTTACTACGAGTCGACTCTCTATAATTATTAGGCTGAAAAATAAGTTCTCGCCGCTTTAATTGCGTTACGTTAAGCTAAAAACGGCGGAAATTTATTCCTCAGCTTAATGTAACAGTTAAAAGAGGATGATTTATTTTCAAGACCCAAAATAGCAGTACTGCTCAATTGGGAATTTCTAGTCGCACTGATTTGAAACGTTGGAAAGGAATTATTTTTTTTTGTTACTAAAATGGCGCCTCCACCAAAAGAGTAAACGAAGATGAATTTTTTAGCGCAACTGATGATATTTAAAAGGATGGGAATTTTAATTCCTAATCTAGGAAGGGGATTTCTTTAAGGTCCCTTTAAACTCGCTTCACACGAGGATTTATCCCGAAAAAAAAAATGGAGATTTTTCCAGACGAGCTAAGTCTGCGACACGATGTTTCGCGTCGCCGAGGCGAGTTCGACGAATCGTGCGAGCGACTTGTAGCGATCGAGCCGATCGGCGATCGCTCGATCTCGAGGGTGATCACATGGAAAAGATGATAGATCGGCAAGTCACTCCGTCTCTGGTTCAACGATCGTCTCGCCTCCTGGACAGTCCATTAATCGAATGCCGACCGTTCCGATGCGCGGGAATCGAAAAAGGGAAAATAAAAGAGCGATTAGGAATTAAACTACCGAATCCGTATAACGACGAAACGAGAATCCCTAAATGTGACTAAACTGGTAACGATCTTTAATCCATACAATTAAATCTAGTTGATTTACAGCATCCATGCGTCATATACACGAGAATGAAATTTTTACAGATTGCAGAGATTTTAGCAGATTTTGTCGTTACTTGTAAAGTCACCTTAGAAGGGAATGAATCCAATAAATTGGCTACTTACAAATAGAGTAATTCATTAATAACAGGCATTTCCTTGAGAGGGTAACATGGCGTGTTATCAATTAATCACGAAAATACGACTGCAGTCCACTCGGTGGACTTCCTGTTTTTCGGTTTCCGCGGTCTTCCTCTTCCTGGAGGAGTCCGTTCGGAGGAGTCTCACGGCCTCAATTTTCAGCTTTTAACCGGGCCTGGAACAATGTCTGTGCACTATCATTCGGGATCGCTATAGTTGGCGGATGAGTCCCTTGCGGTACTTTCTTTACCACGGGATCGGGTATCAAGCAAATCGGTACTTTCCGCGTTGCGTCCCGAGATACCAAAAGGGAGCGCGACCCTGCTCGGAGGTACCTCTCCTTATCGGATTAATTGCATTAATTTTAATGATTTTACTTAGAGGTAATGACACACCTTGGGGAAGTTTCATTGGAGTGCTCCCCGACAGCAAGAAGGTGCTGAAAGTGCAATCGAACCTTCCCGGAAGTGCGCGGCTTTCCGAGGGATTATTAATTCCAGCAAAATGGGGCTCTTCTTGCGACCCTTCGGAAATGCTTGCACCGAGAGTGGATAATTATTGTAAACGTACGTACACGTATATAATTGTCCCAGGTGACACCCTGGTTCGCCTTACCCTCGGCGAGCACGCCATGGGCGCGTTATTAGGTAATGCATGTTATTACCACACATAGTACACCTATCCTGGCATTGGTCCGTCGAGGCGCAGTATGCAAATGCAGACATGTGCGTGTATGCAAATCAGGGTGTACGATGCACCCCGCGTGGTATTTTCATTCGTTCGCCTGGGCTTTTTTTCCACGTAGAAACGCGCTCGGCTAATTAACTCGTAACATGGCTCGTTACCCCTGAAATAATACCTCACATTTTTCGCGTGTAGGAACGCAAAGAAAAGGGAAAAGAAAATGGCGATCGCGATCGAACGGTCCGTAGCAAGCGGTGTAATAATTCCTCCGGTTTTCTCATCCCTCCGGGTTTCCTCGTACAGGTTATTCCGGGTAATTTGTCCGATTTTTCTCACCCCTGAATTTATGCTCAAGGCGTCTTCCGGCACGTTGAAAACTCAAGGCAAAAGTGCAAGAGATTCTTTTCCCGCTTATGTGGGAAAATTTGAAAAAAGCACGAGCGGAGGAGGCTTCAGTTTTCCGGACGATAAACGCCGATTAAACCGTGTCTCGTGCGCCGCCATTTTTCCTTTCCTCGGGATCGATCCCAGGGATCGCGGTAATTACTTTCCTCCAGATCCGCTCGATTTGCGGCCGGTAATTACGCAATTTGCACCGCCGAACGAGCACCTCCCCAGAGGGGATATCAATAAAAGTGACGATCCGCCGTTATCGATATCCCAAGCCTCTTGGGACGTGAATTTCAAATAGAATCCTAAGAAACTTGGCATGTAGTCGTAAGTCGAGTCGGGGACCCTCCTCTCCTCTAAAGTGCACCACTCGAAGAACAGTTATTAAGAATGACTCGATGATTTCAGGATCTCTCTCCGAGTCGCGGGACCCTCCCTTCGCCCCCCCGGACGAGCAAACCGCAGGACGTTCTACTTATGATCGCCGCACTTCTTGTAAATCTCATCCCGAGAGAGGGAGAGAGAGAGGACCGTTCGCCGGCATTTAGCGTTCTTACTCGGCCGGTCGGCGGTGCAATAATCCTCCTTTCGCCTCTTGCGTTTTACATTTTATCGGAGGCTCTTCCGGGTTGCCAGGAGACCTTGGAAGGTCTCCAGACCTCGAAGGCCGCGCCGAAACACGCGACCCTGCTGGCGAACGGCGGCCGCCATTTTGGTACCCGTAAACAAGGCGCTGTTTTTGACACCCCGATTAGAATTTCAATAATCTTCGATTTAATGAAATGGCCGATGGAATTTTAAGATACTGGATGTTGTCTACAAAATTCAGGGAAATGCAGGAAGTCCGACATGGCGAACAGGGTTGCTCCTTGCACGCCCTGATTTCGGTGGCCTGTGATAAATCGAAATAACTTTAGTTAAGAATAGTTATCAATATTTTACATATTTCTTGTTTGCTTTTTTTTTCTTCAGTAATTTATCATGTTTTCAGATTTTAATATACAAAATACTTGAATTTTTTAAATAACGCGTCAATTTCAAGGCAAGCCGTAAAAGTTCCAAAATGGCGGTCGGCGCTTCTTCTTGCGCGATTACCTAAATAAGGTAAATCAAAGTAAATCAATGTAATCTATGCAATATCAACCAGATTTTCAGTCAGATCGTATATAAATTAACATAAAAATTTTGCAGGTAACGCGTGAGTTTCAAGGCGAGTCGTAAAAGTTCCAAGATGGCGGCCGGCGCCTCTTCTTGCGCGCGCTGGCCCCATCGACCTAGGCAAGGTCAATGGAGCGTATATACGCGAGCATGTAATTTGAATCCATCGATTTCGAGCGACTATCGCGAGGAGATGCCGTCGGATCGCCTACCGGGAAGCCGATCCTGCCTTTACAGTACTTTCGCGTGGGTAAGGCTGCGTGACACGCGATCCTCCCGATCCGAGAGCCGAGGAAGAAAAGAGGAAGGAAGGAGCGCCGCGGGCCCTTCCTTCCTCGCCGAGGAAGAACCGCCGACGAGGGACGGGGAGAGGCGACCAGGCGGCAAGAACAGGAAGAACCGGCGAACGAGGAAAGAGCGGAAAGAACGGCGCGAGGATTCACACGGTACGCTATGCATAGCGGAAATAACGGGGGTGTACTCGCAGCAGCGAGCGCTGCACCGAACTGCACTAAGTGCACTCTACTTTGCATACTTGGTACTAATCGATACGTCATACCCGGACGACGAAGAGAAATTAACCTCGTATAATTAATTACACGTATTATATTATAAATGAGGAAAGTATACAGATTGGACAATATAGGAAATATGAAACTGGTGGAAAGAAATTAATATTTCTTTCGGTCAATAAAAGCGTTTGGGTCCGTCGGGGTACTTGGTGAACACTTTTAAAGCACATAGTGGTACCAACTTTGTGTGGTATCGACGCTAGAATTTTCCATTAATTTCCATTCTCACTTTCGCATGTGAAATTAGAGGTTAATTGTTGGTCAATGACGGGACTTCGCAGCGATGCAAAGTTTTTCATGAGGTGAAATTCGTAGTGGAAAAAAAAAAAGAAAAAATTCGTATGAATTCGAGAATCGGGACTCGGGCAACGCCCTGAAATTGGAAATGTGTGAATAATCGAGTGGAGTCACGTCGAGCCGGCGATCGCGTTAGCGCCGACGCCGTCCAATCCGCCAGCTGACCATGTCGAATCCGATGTCGTCGCGTCGCGGGCTCGCGAGGAGCGACGTCCTGATCCCGCGGGAGGACTTCCGCGCTCCTCGGGGAAATTGAAAATTCTTCGCACCTTACCGAGGCGGCATTAGGCTTTTTCTCAGGGTTCTTCCTTTCGATTCCACCGGAGAGACAGGGCCTTCACGTCCTGGCCGCTCCTGGCTCTTCCTCGCGAGTGATGCTTTCAACTCTGGGAGGACTCTCGCCAGGACCAGGACTCTGGAAACCTTGAAGAGGACCGCAAGCCATGGGTAAACGTCAGATCCTTCACAAATATGGGACCCAAGGTGTTGAACCTACTAAAGGGGTCTGATCCTGAAAAAAGCGAAAAGATGTGAGGATAAGTTCCTTGGAATGATTCATCCTTAATTGCTGAAGAGGGCAGAGATTCCAGGACTAAGCTGGAGGGCCCGAAGGACGAGGAACCAGAGGATGAAAGGGGTCTGTCGCCGATCGAAGAGGAGTCCGAATCCGCAGGATCGTCCAGAGACACCTGCAGCGATGTCGAGGATTCCGGGGAAGAGGACTCCAAGAGGAAGGATATCGAACAAGGATCTAAGGATCGGGCTGTAGATTTGAAAAACTCCTCGGGGGAAGAGAGCAGTTCCGAGGGAGAGACCTTGCAGAGCTTCAGCTTCACGATCGGACCTCCTCGCGGCCATCTGAAATCAGGTGTAATTCATCGGCGTTTTTTTTTTCTTAGGAATTAAAAGTTTGAGAGTATTTGATGTGTCTTTTCAACTTTCGCATTTTTTTTCCTGGCAAGGACAGACGCATCCGGTGATAACGACGAGAAGACTCTGAAGACTACTTTGGAGTGGCTGAAGGGGAAGGTGGAGGACTCAGCTCGAGAAATCGTCGCCTTGAAGAAGGAGCTGAGCCTTGAAAAATCCAGAAATCGTCAGCAGGTCCTGCAGGTCCTTCGGTATCGCGAGGAGTGTTCAAAAGAGAGCGAGATGCTGAAGACGAGCTTGCAGACCTGGAAGGACGAAACGAACGGCAGGCTGCAGTCGCAGGTCGTCAGGTGGCAGATGGACGAAAGGAAAAGGATCAACGAGGAGCTCGAAAAAATCGTCGAGGTGGGAATATTAATTGAAAAGGAAATTACCAAACGGCTAAATAGCCTTGAGAATACGTAGAGGAATGATTTTAAGCGGCTTAGGTGTTTACTTTTAACCGAACAAGGACATCAGGAGCAGTCTGGAGAAGGACGCTAAGGAGTGGCAGCGGGAGGTGAAGCGAAGGACATCCGACCTGACGAAAAAGGAGAGGACCAAGCGAGAGGTCGATGCCGAAGACACCAGGATACTCTACGAGAAGATCCAAAGGCACTTGGGAAACCTCGATAAGCGGAATAAAAAATCCTACGACAACTTCAGGAAGCAAATCGACGTCTGGGAGGAGCGACTTCGGGATGAGGTAGTGAAGTTGCACCAGAACGACCTGAAGAAGATCAGGCGTCAGTTGAAATTATGGTTGGTTTCGAAAATTATCCTTCCTTTCTAAACGAAAAAAAAAAAAACGTAGTAAGGAGACTGGGACCATCCTGATGACACTTTTCTTCAGGTACAAGGACCATGGTACCAGTTGGTACAGCACGATCTCTCTGGCATCTCCAGGAAAGGGAGAGTGGCAAGCCGAGGCCCAAAGGACTCCTAAGCAGACCTCCAGGTCGCGATCCTTCGACCGACCCTCGACAGACGAAGACGATCTCCTGAAGAGACTTTTCGACAGCAGTTCGAAGGAACTGAGACAAGTCGAACGAACCTTGAAGACGGAGATTCAGGACGATCGAGAGGAGTTGACGAAGAGGATCGACGATAAGGTCGAGGAGCTCTGGGTAGCTTTCGACGAGTTGAAGCAGAACCTCGCCGTCGAGAGGAGTTACCAGGTCGCCTGGAGATTTCAACGAAACCAGGTGATAGACCACCTGGACTCGGATTCTGCCCAATCAGACGTTAGTGATAAACGAGGGTGCCCCAGGAGACGAAAGACCGCGAATTCTGGGACGAATACTGATCTCGACACGGATGAGGAAGATGCTGGGAGGAGGCCCAAGAAGGTGTCTTTCAGAAGGAACTCTCTTGTCGAGATGCCGATCGTGCCCCAGGTCAGGGACGAGAACTTCCGCAGGAAGTGAATTCTACATAAAAAGAATCGAAGGGGTCGATTGCGAATTTTCCTTTAATTTTTACGGTGGGTTTCATGGACTCCATTTTGTAGGGGAAGATGAAGTAGATCCTTTCAGGATTGAGGGTTGGGGAAAACTGGAGGTTCCGTTTTTTGTACCTATTCTTACTCGAACGCACCCCTTCCGGACCTGGAGGTGCTCGCGGATGCAATCGAGGGTGACTTGGACCAAGTGTAGCTGCATCTGCGTTGCCTGCGGCTCTCCAGCCACTCTCCCTCGGCCTTGCTACCATTATTCATGAAACTCTTGCCAACCTTCAAGTTCATGGTCGATGGCTGAGCGAGGTGGGCAAGCCGCGATGGTAATGGCCCCGGCAGATAGCAGAGCTCTTCACCGAGAGCGTAATGCGAGAGTTGTGCAATTCCCCGCGTAATACCCAAGACGAGGAGCTGCGAGCTCCGAGGCCGAGCTCTCCGACTTTCTCCCTTGATAGCGAATTCGAAATTCAGACCCATCAGAGTCCGCCTCTCCGGGGCCGGGAAGATCCTTAAGTGGCAACGCGCCGCGGCGAAAGTTATCTTCCCGGGAATCTGGATCATCCCCCGCAGACGTTGAATTGATCTGACAAAATTCTCAGGGACAGAGAATAAAAATTAAAACTCCTCAGAGTACACCTCTTCAGGGTCGGGATCTAGAATTGGTACCGGATTAAGGGGAAAATAATTTCTCTGGAAATCTAGATCATCCCTTATTGACGTTGAATTAATATGAACACTCCCAGTGGTAAAATTAGAGATTAAGACTCATTCGAGTCTGCCCCCTCAGGGTTGCGATCTTGAAGTGGTACCACATTACAGGGAAAGTACTACTGCCATGAATCTAGATCGCCCCGTAATCCATGCTGCCACTAATTTCGAAATGACTAGGATTATCCTAATTTATACTTCCGTCCTTTCATCGAGACTCCGCACCGGAAACTTTCTCACCGGTGAGACGAGGAGTTCGAGATTCGTCTATTCCGCTGATAATTGATAAGACGGTAGGGATTAATAGTAAATTTTCAAGTTAATTTCAGACAAACTTTGGAAGGGTTTTGTAATGATTTACAGTGATAAAGGTAGCGGCAATAAATATAAATGTTTTGCTTTAATGGAATTAGAAGCGGGCCCTGCAATCCCTGCGCGAACGATAAAGCGGGTCGAGCGCGCCTACTTCCCGCGTGTATAATCTGTTACAAATTGTTTCCTATAGTTCCGCGGCAATTTTCCCGCCATTTACAGGATCCCGATGAAAGTACGGATTTCCCAGCCCATCGGGATAATTGCGAGGATAGGGTTATTAGCTGCATGTACCCTCGCATTCGGGCGGCACTCGCGGCGCAACTTGGGATCTGGATCATCGCGTAACTCATATTACCGTGCACTAATCCGAGAATTACCGGGATCATTATGATCAACCAGGTACACTTACCTCCTTATACTATTCGACAGAAAGTCCCGGCACGCGAGATTTTCACGGCGGACGTCGATTCGGATTTTTCTTCTTTTTATCAGAAACCCAGCCAAGGCGCTCTCACGAAGTTCGGCCATTTTGTTTTTTTTGGCCAGTACATTGTCACGACGGAGTCGATTATTTGATCTGTACTTTACCCTTGCTTCTCCATCTTTATACGTTTTAATAAGATACTACACAAGTTCTTTTAAGAAACAAAATGGCGACCACCAATATGGCGACCCCCGATCGGAGGTCTCGGAACAGTCGAAAGTAAGTATCCGGAGGAACGGAACGGTTCTTTCCAGAGGCTGATCCCGGTGCGGAGGAGCCGGGAGGTCAGCTCTTTCTTCTTTCTTCTTTCCACGGGAGATTCTCGCGGAAAGAAGGAAGGTAGGCCACGCCGAGGCGAGTATCGCTGTTTACGTTTCACGGAGCCCAGAGGGCCGAGAGCGTGTTCAATCCGATTCTTCGTGGGAAACTGCTACGTTCCTTCGCCGCCTCCGCTCTGTGCCCCGTGGAAGCCATCTTTCCGCATCCTACGGTACATCCAGGCCCTCCTCCAGTCGTCGCCCTTGGAAATCGGGATTTACGCAACTGCGAAAACACCGGCTACGATCCGCTACCGTTAGTCGGTGCGAGCTCAGAAATGGCCCCGGGAAGTTTCTTTGAGCCTTGGAGATGGGTTGCTTCTTCTTCGGGACCTCTTATTATAATCACTGAATTAACTCTATTGGCTATTTTCAGGGTCTCGAGACATAATAGAGAAGACGCGACGCGGCCCCGAGGCGTCTGGGCGCCGCCATTTTGGAGAACGCCTGAGGTTCGCGGCTTAGCAGTGGAGACTTCAACGCTGGACGCACATGTTAAATCCAGTTCTCTTGAATAGTAATCTCGTGATAATCTCTGGAATAAATTACCGCCTTCCTTTTCTTCTTTTCAGGAGGAAGCTTCTTCGCGAGAGGATACTGTGTCTGTAGTACCTCGGATGGAAACGCGTGCGAAGACGCATCTGCTGCAGGCTTTTCTGGGATGCATTGCGTTGCGCGGTTTACTTAATTGCGAGGAACACCGTTAATCTGAGGTACCGCTCGTTAAGTATCATCGTCGACCCACTGCGTGCAGTTCTTCAATCCTTGGTCGATGATTCGAGCGTTTATGCATTCTTGTGAGGGATTCAGGTGGAGACTGACTGAACAGACGCGAAACTCAAATCTGGATTTGGAGATTTCAATGCCGCATTGAAAAAAGAGAATTTATTAATTCTTATGCAGAGTTTTGTTGGAGACTTCAACGCCGCCGACTGCACAAGACATTAAACTCCACTCTGGATTTGGAGATTTCAAGGCCATATTAGAAAAAAAAGGCGTTTATTCCTTCTCATGCAGAGTCTTGCGCGGAGACTTCAACGCCGCCGCCTGCATAAGACATGGACATCCATTCTGGATGTGGAGATTTCAATGCCATATTTTTCAGTTCTTTTATAAATGCCCGGACAAATTTGCGACGCAATAATTAATAATGTATTCTTCGGCACTCTTGGTCAGCAATTTTTATTTAATGTGCTATTATCTCCGGATGAAATTCACTGCAAAAGAAATCGTCCTCGAATTTATGAAACAACCTAATAGAAGGGATGGAAATTTCTCAGAATGCCGTGGCGGATGTTGCGTCTTTGACGAGCGGAGCTTTTTTTCAGGGTCTCGAATGCCGCGCCTTGCGTTTTCGCGATGCGGAGTCGCTGCTTTAATGCCCCTCGAGCGAGATGATTTGTGTGTAATGAATTAATTGGTTCAAGGTCACCAGGCACCGTTGCACCTGCAGTCACCTAGCAGGTTGCTTTTCCCTCGCGTGCACCTCGAGTCGAGATTCCCGCCTCCTTTCCATTTCCACTTTGCATTAATTCCACTTTATTCCGCCAACCTGGCGGATCAATTAATTAAACCGCTGAAAAGCCCGGCTGCTCCAGTTTCATTGCAATGCCATTTTGCGCGCCGTTCTATCCGCGGACGCAAATTGATACTCTAACAGGACTCCGGTGTAAAGAAACCTAATTTACTCATCTCTCGGTCCATTTCTCCGGCCATTTACTCGATTTTTCCATCGAACGACCCGATGCGCAACGAGGGAGCAAATTTATTCTAGTAGTACCGGGATTACGGGATTATGAAAACGACGGCGAAGACCCCTACTCAGGGTCAATGGATTACGGCGAGAGTAATTAAGTACGAGTCTTCCAGCTTCTGAAATAAGTACAGGCAACGTGCATTAATTAATATCAAATAAGGTTAATTTAGCCTCTCCTCTTAATCTCTCTCTCTCTCTCTCTGGATCAACAGAGGTCGTCGAGTTATCCGTAAATTTCTTCAGGTGGAGTGGCTGGATTAATTTCTGCAACTGGACGAGACGATTCCCAGGAGGTAGAGTACCCCGACGAAGACGAGGACGATACCCACGCCCTTCAGCATCTCCGAGTTGCTGGAATAATCATTTCCCGAGCTTTTTAAACTAGACTCTCTGAAAGGCAAGTCAATGTCCTACCTCTTCGACTTGAAGACGACCGTGCAGAGGGTCTCCAGCACCTTCGCGTCGAACCAGAAGGAAGCCTCGATGATGTAGATGGCCAACCCGACGAGATAGAAGGCCACGAGCCGGTGCACCACCTTCGCTTTCTGGCAAGGACTACCGACTGCCTTGAAAGTGAAAAAGCATTACCTTAAGGCGGATGCTCGGTTGCTCAAGATCCGAGAAAGGTAAATGCTTTGTTAACTCGTGGTCATCCAGAGGTTCCGGATGTCGATGATGGCGGCACGGGTCTCGAAGCTGGCCCGTTGGTACCAGTCCACGAAGAGAGCAGCATAAATCTTCATCATCTCCACCACGCCCTGAGGCTGCGACCCTAGAGCTAGAATATGTTGAAACGTAGTTACACCTCATCAAGATCTAAAAAATAAACCCAAACCTCAGACGGTTTCGACATCCCTCCAGAGTATTAAAAGCAGCTTCAAGAATGTATCAATTTAATTCCCTGCGTTAATCATTAACCCATTTCCGAGCATATAATATCAGACTATAATCCCAATAGACCAGTCCAAGTAAATAAAAACAATTACAAGATACTATGAGAATATCCTATAAAATTAACATCCCATGACTGAAAATATTAATTTTCAATGACTGTTTTATAAGGTTACGGCATTCCTTTTTTCCTCGCCTGTGGACGTTTTTTCTCGTCTCGAGGGCCGAAAGGGTTACGTGGTGTATCCATAAAGCATCCGGTACTCGAGTGCCCTAGCTCGGTGCTAGTATCCCGGTTTGGAATCGTAGATCCTAGTTAAAACGCGAAAACTACAAGGGGTACTTACGATGCAGCGCGGAGTCAATGGTCCCTCCCGTCCAGAAGCCAATTTGCCTTGGCGGCCTGAAAGTTCGAACTTCCTGCATTCCGAACCGCCGTAAAGGCCCGCGGAAAAGAACGGGCAATGCGCCGGCTCGGACGAGCCGAGGAAATTTAAACG